GGCATTGGAATGTATATTGAACATTTCCAATCTGTGGGGCCATTGTTTTCTTTTCCATATTTGCTGGCATATTCTTGTTAGTATTTGGACTGATTCAGTCTCTGCAACTTGGAATAGTTTTGTTGGTATGCTATCTACTCCAGGTGCTTTATTCCTTCCAATTCCTTTCAGAGCTGCTTCAATTTCTGATATTGCAGACTCATAATATCTCCTTGAAGGAGCCTGTCCTCCTTCCACCTGTTTTTTATGTTGTTATGTGCCATCAAGTTGTGTTTGACCTATGGCGACTCTATGAATTCCCAAAATTCCCTGTTTCTGACTGCTCTATTTGGCTCTTCCAAGTTCAAGACTGTGATTTCCATATGGATTCATTCCATGTCATATTTGGTCTTTCTTTTTGTCTTCTGCCTTCAATTTTCCCTAACATGATTGTTTTCTTCAGTGAGACCTGCCTTCTCATGATGTAGTCAAAGTATGACAGCCTCATTTTTTATCATTATCATTTTTTTTCTCCAAAGGAAAGCTCTGCCTAGTCTTTTGTACAGTTGTCCTGTATATTGTCTCCACCTTCTCTTTATTTTCTCTTGGTCAGATAGTACCTTGTTTGTCTTTCAGTATTGCTAATCTAGGTTTGAATTTCCCTTTGATTTCTTGGATTTTCTGGAAGAGTCTCTTGTTTTTTTCTTCTTTTGTTTCTCTCTTCTGTTTCTTTGTACTGGTACTGTAAAAGTTTTGTTTGTCTCTGTGTGATAGTCACTGAAAGGTTGCATTCTAGATTCTGATGCTATTTCAGTCACTATTTTGCTTCTTGCCTGCCCGAAAAACAATTGTTTTTCGTTTGCCATCCATCTAGGCTCTTTCTTTCTATTTGGTACAGGAATTGTCTTTTGGCATTCTTCCCTAATACAGTATCTGGTTTCAGTCCACAGTTTTTCTGGCTCATGGAAACTTAACATAAGTAGTACGTATCTGTTCTTTATGTGGATTTTGTCAGTTATGTTATTGAAGTTATATTTTGGCACTATGTTTCTGTGAGCTGTGTTTTTCACTTTAATATTAAAAATTCTTGGTCACTACTGCAACTTGCTTTCAGTCTTGTTTTGGCAGCAAGAATACAGCTTCTCTGTCTTCCCTATCGAGTTATATAATATGTTTGATTTTTGGTGGACATCTGCTGATATCCATGTATAAAAATCATCTGAGCAATTTCTTGAAGTATGTGTTTGTGATGAGATTGTTGGCTTGACAGAATTCTATGAGTTCTCCTCCCTCCTTTGTTTCTTACCTCTAGGCCAAGTGCTCCCATATCATTTGATCATGCTTTGTTTTCTACTTTTGCATTCTGGTCCCTTAGGATTATCAGCATTTCTTGTTTTGGTGTATTATCAAATTCTTCTTGAACACCTGCATAGAAGTGTTCAAATTCTTTTTCTTCAGCATCTATTGTTGGAGCATAGACTTTAATGATGGTTATGCTGATAGGTTTTCCATTAATTCTGATTGATATTGTTTGGCTGGATTTTTCACTATAGCTCCTTTCTGCCTGTGCTACACGTTGCATCAGTATCAGAGCTACTCCATTTCTTCTGAGTTTTTCATTTCTGGAGTAAAACATTTTGTGTTTGTCTGACTGAAAATGCCCCATTCCAGTCTACATTAGCTCACTCACACCAAGTAGTTCAATGTGTAACAGTTCCATTTCTTTTTTTTTTACAGTTTTCAGTTTACCTTGATTTATAGTTTTCACATTCCATGTACCAATGATATCTGTTGTGTAGTACTGGACTTTCGTTTCACTTCTATTCATGTCAGCCACTAGACTTCCTTTTGGCTTTGATCTAGTTGCAATATTAGTGACAGTACTATTCATACTTGTTTTTTGCTCTTTCCCAGTAGCTTGTTGAATGTCTTTCAGCCTGGGGGATGGGGTGTCTCATTTTCTGGCACTATATCTTGTTTCATTTTGGACTACTTCATCATAGGATTTTCAAGGTAAGAAGGTACAGAAGTGGTTTAACATTGTCTTCTACACATTGCTACTCAGAGCTACTTTGAAGATCACTGTGATTACCTGTGAAAGATCCCCCATCATTGTTGCCTTCCACTACATCCTTGCCCCCATCAAGAGAGATCCATTATCGTCTGATAATTCCTGATGGGGTTTGAGAATGTCAGAGAAACTGAGAGCAATGCCAGTCTGAGAGCAAAGGAGGCCAGACTGTCTCACTAAACCAGTCTCTTAGCAGAATCGCCCAAGGCAGAATGGTCTCAAACCCCATCACCGCACTAAGGTGTGCATCCAAGAGGGGGAACTGAACAAAAATCATGACTACAGAAGACAAAATCGTGACTACAGAAGAATCACGGAACTTTAATCTCAATAATGACGATATTAAAAGTATGAAAAATTTTTCCATACCCTGACTCAGTCATCATTTCAAATGGAGATTGCAGTCAATATTTTAGAAGAAGACTGAGATTTGGAAAGACAGTAATGAAGAAAGTAGAAAACATAATCAAGTATAAGGACAGAATCATCCACACTATTGCATTTCTGATCACTATATGGATGGTGTAAGTGGACATTGAAGAAAGCTGACAGAAGGAAAATTGGCATATTTGAAACATGGGACTGGAGGACACCTTAGAGAATACCTTGGACCAACAGAAAGGCAAACAAGTAGGTTTTATATCAAATCAATCAGAAGTTTCCCTGGAAGCAAAAATGACAAAAACTGAGGATGTCATACTTTGGTCACATCATGAAAAGGCCAACTTAATGGAGAAGACAGTAAGTCCTCCAGCCTCATGCTTGGGAAAGTCTAGCAGAAGAAGAGCAAATATGAGATGGATTGGTTCAATTAAAGAAGCCAGTGGCTTGACTTTACAATTGCTGAGAAGCTCTTTCAAGGACAGGGCAGGTTGGAGGGCATCCATTCATAGATATGACTTGATGGCACATAACAATTCTTAAAGGAATCTCAGAGACTGAGTTCAATGCAAAATAGCTCCCACTATAGTTTATCAAGAAGTCTAGTTCTTTCTTCTGTGGCTTGAATACGGCAATATTTTATGTATCTGATCTGTAGTCCATTAAAATTTACACCATAATAAATGTGACAGTCTTCAGTGTGCCACAAGACTGTTTGTTGCTTTTTAATGAGATCTTATTTTCTTTTTACAGTAGCAAAACTGTAGATAACAAAACAGGACACATACGTTAAACACTTGGCAAATTATGAGATGGCATTAGTTTCAATAGCACAGAGTAAAATTGTAATAACTGGCAAGATTGTTAGGGAACTTGGAAAATTAAAGTTTAGTATAATGCCTGTACAGAGTAGCTCAAATAAGAAATACGCTTAGTGTTGGGTGTTTCACATTTTAATTTGCACCTTCCTGTGTCCACTTGTTTTTCTCCTTACACCCTATCATCTGGCTTTAGGGTGTGTTAGAGAGCTCTACCCTACAGAGGACAATATTTAGCAGTGATGTGTAAGGTGTGTAATTGACATGTGGGCAGGAAGGTGTTGAAGGGAATAGGAATACAAGATTTGAAATCAAATTGTGTAACAGATGATGTTGAGAAGAGGAGAAGGTGTAAGATATGTCCATACAATTAAATTGGACTCATATCCTGTCCACAAACCATTTTTCAAGTGAAGTGTTAACTAGTGGAGCACAGTAATGCTTGTTGAAGACATTTTTCCTCTGGAAGTCATGAATCTGGCAACTTCTGCAGATAACTCCTGAAAGTGAATAAATGCAATTACTTAGTCATTATCAGTTCACAGCTGGATACAGTTTCCCTAGATTTTTAGAATCACTGAAAATCACACCTGTTGTTGAAATTATTGTATCTGAATATCAGATATAAATTTAATTTTATTTCCAGAAGACATTATCAGTATAGCTTGTGAATTTCCAGCTGAAGGGTAACTGGTAAGACTGCCACAATCCCCCCCACCCAAATTGGGAAAACAGCTAGCTCAAACAAATTGCAGAAAGTAGTCTACTGAAAAATACAATATCCATTAAAATTACGTTGGAAATGTTTTGAGATAAGGTACACAAAGTTATGCAGCAATTTCAAGGTTGTAAATTTAATTTAAATATAGGAGGGACTAGCTAGGAGGAATTTAGTGCTGGAATAAAGCTGTGTGGAGAAGTTGTAAGATGTGTTCCTTAGAAGCTTCATGTGAAAGTTTTATGCATATCTTGTGCAAATGCTTCAAGGCAGAGAGAGGGTTAGGTAAGAGTGAAACTTCGCAACAATTTTGTGTTTCCAGTATGATTTTCTAAGTGACTTGTATTTTATATCTTTTAAAAGAAGCAATAGTTGATTGTGTTATATTGATGGGTTGTTGGATAGTAATATCCAGACAGTTAGGACCTCTTGTAATTGACCTAGATCTGGAATTAGGAGTAAGTAATGGAGTTAGCTTAGTTTGTTGATAGCACTTCCACAAGATTGACATGTTCCTGAAGCATAAGTCTGCCAATAGCTACTTGACTTAATGTCCATGTACTTCCTTCACTATCAGAGGGAGCAAGCCTATGTACACAAGTTGCTGGGGAACTTGGGTGAGTGGGTTCTGTTGAACTCATGAACTCCTTATGGGTTCCCTCATGCAGCTGGTTGGCCCCTGATCAAATAGAATGTGGAACTAGATAGACTCTTTTTTTTTAACCCAGCAAGGAGGTTCTTGTGCTCCATTTGGATTGAGGATGTTATATAGGTCTTACCAGAGTTACAAGAGTTTTAGATAGCAAGAGATTTGCTATGTTCACATATGCCTTAAATAACAATAAAGATTTTGCTAGCTGTTTTAACTTCACTAGTGATAAGATTTAGTTTTGTTTGGCAGCGGCGGTGGGGGGGTTGGTGGTGGTCATAGAAATACACATTTGTTTTTAAATTAATGAAGCCATTTGGAAAAAAATTGCTTTGTTTTATCCAAAGTTATATCAATGTAGGAATGAACAGCTGTATAGGTTTTTCAGGGTTTAGTTCCTTCAAAGCTATTAGTATTTTTATATTTCTTTTGCAGTGTAACATGATTGATCAGGATGTGTAAGCTATCTTTGGGTTGTTGGGTTTTGAGGTTTTTTTGTCTCTAATTTTTTGTAAGTTCTCGGCTGCATTTTGTACAGGTGTTCCACAACAGATTATTTAGGTGTAAGCCAATTACTCCTAACTGCAGAATGACACTGCATTCCTGGGTCAGCTGGGTCCCCAGACCTCCTGTGTTGAGTGCAGAAGTTTAAACAGAAAATTCTGTTTGTGCATTGGAGCTCCACACAGTCCAAATATATACTGTTGCAGGGTATTCTGCAAGGTGGAGCTTTGTACCACAGACCTAACTTAGGAGTATGATTTTGGTGATGAGGCCAGAAGTGCAGGTCCACTTTGTAAGTATGTGAGTAATGCATAAGGCTAGAGAAAGAAGTAATTTTCACGAATTAAGACCTCATTCTAGTTACATTGATACAAATAAGATAATTAACGAATCAAAGTTGTGGAGGGATCTCATCTTGATTCAGTGAAAACCAGAGATAAAATACATTAAGCCTTTCTCCAGTGTTATCTGTGTGTAGTTGAGGTAATGATATAGAATGTTTTGGTAACTCAAATGTTGTTATTACTTCTTCCACATAGTTTACAGTTAATGGCATATTCTGATCTCTTCCAGATGTTTCTTACAGTGTACCTCAGCAATAATGAACAACACTTCACTGAAGTTCCAGTTACCCCAGAAACCACTTGCAGAGATGTGGTGGATTTGTGTAAAGAGCCTGGTGAAACTGAATGTCATCTGGCTGAAGTGTGGTGTGGCTCAGGTATGTGAAAGATGGCTGTTGTAACATGCAACCATCTAGAAAATTTGCTTTCATTTATTTTAACACCATGGTTAATTAAAAACTTTGAAGAATCACACAAATTCGTAGAATATTTAAGTAGTACAGCTTTTTTTAATAGTACCTGCTTTTATGTTAACATGAAATGAAAAAGGACTAGGTGAATCAGTTGCACACTGTCAACCTGGGCTGACATCTTGTTTAACTTATGAATTTTTTGTGGAAGACACTTAAGACCTGGTTCTCACATAGCACTAACCTATCGTTTATTTAAATTGTGGTTTGTTTTCCTTCCTAGGGTTGTCTGCAAACCATGATTTACAACTCAATCACTAGTTTGATGGTTTCCCTTCTTCACCTTCTCCCTTCATGTATCCCAAGCGCCTTTGTAGCACTCACATCTAAGAAGCTTATTTTTTTTAACTTGTCTTGCCTACTACTTTTTAGCCAAATAAGAACACACAATTGTTGCTTTACATTTGTTTAAACTGTAGTCCATGGTTTAAACAACTCACACTTCATAATCTGGTTTGTATGACACAACAGCCTCACCATGGGTTTTTCAACCTTCAATGTGCTAAAGTATGTGCCAGGTCCAGTTTGAATATGCAAATCTGGATCAGTGCAATTGGGGAATTGCCATGTCGTACAAGCCCACCCACCATGGATTATTTGAGGGTTAAATTCTCACCCTGGGTTAGTAATGCAGAGTTAATTCCATAATTGGACCATATGATTCAATTATGGTTAATTAAACTGCTGTTTGTTATGTGCAAATCAGGTTTTTACAATGGTTCCTCTGCATCTTTAATGCAAATGTAAAAACTACTGTGGAGATATTTTTCACGTACAGTTATTTTTCATTTGTTCTCTCCTGCTTCTGTCCCACATTAGCAGTATTTATAGTGTAAGGGAGTTTTAAATACATATGACATTTAAGCCTCTTTTAAACTGAGTTCTATAAAATTCAGAGAATTCTTTCCTACTTCCTAGTATTGGTGTAAATAAAGAAATGATACAGAGTTCAACACATCTTGCACTTTTAAAACAAAGCCATGCATAGAGATAACAGTGATGGATATACTGTAGATAATTAGTTCCTACTTAGAACTACTTGGTAACACTAGCTTCACTGTGCTGTAAAAACTTGTTTTTAAACACTTTTAAGTTCTTCAATAAACTATGCTCTTTAATTTAGGTTGTGTTAAAGTCTTGGAAAAGTTAAGGCTCCAGTGAAACATGCCTTTCTTCAAATATCATCTCTATTGAAAGTGGGGCTTACATTAAAGAGGGGAAAATGCAAAGAGAGATACTTGCTGTCAATTTTTCCATTTTGTAGGTGCTAGATAAAAACACTTAAGTCTTCCAGGGGTTGTAAATGAGGCAAAACCATTTAAAATGTTGTGTTAGTGAATTTTCTCCTCCTCCTCCTTGGTAAGGCTTTGCTTTGAAATCATTGATAAAAGATAGTATATACATGGTTTCGGCGAATGGGGCGGCATAAAAATGTTTTAATAAATAAATAAATAAATAAATAAATAAATAAATAAATAAATAAAATAATCACCTAAATTTATGTAGACAAGTAGAGCAATACCTATTAATAAACAATGTTAGTTCTGATCCTCTTAGCTAGTTGCCATAAATGACAACTGCAAACATTATTTTCACACTACTTTTTTACTCAAAGAAAGAGAATAGAGTCAGGAAATTTAGTTTGAAATGGGGCAGCTCAAATTCAGGACATAAGCCCCAAATTTTGTTGCCTGTCAGATTTGTTCTGGTGGCGGGACAGCAATGGTTTTGAAATTAATATATGGCCCTTTATACTCAAGCTAAGCACATTAGATCCCCTGCTAATATAAAACCATGCTTTCCCCCCTCAACTCGTGCATCTAAAATATTTTTAAACCCCTTGATTTTTATGGTATGTACAAGTCTGATGACTCTCTGGCTGGCAGAATTTTGATAGAATCTTATATAAGTGAAGTCTAGAATCAAATATGACAAAGCTGTAGCTGTCATACTTTGGGCACTTCACGAGAAGTCAAAACTCCGTAAAGAAAACCATCATGCTAAAGAAAGTCAAAGGCAGAGGAAGAAAAGGAAGCCCAAATATGAGATGGATTGATTCCATAAAGGAAGCCACAACCTGGAAGAGCTGAACAGCGCTTTCATGGATAGCACATTTTGGAGAATTTTCATTCATAGGGTCACTGTAAGTCCAAGATGACAACAATAGTATTTTGTGTAAGATAAATGGGTGTATGTGACCTAGTATTTTCTGTATCAGCTGCAAATATTTTCTAGTGGCTAAAACCATTGCTGTCCCTCTGAAGGCTAAAACTGAGTTCTGTTCCTGTGTAACAAGTTTAAACAATGTTTCTTTGCACATTCACCAGTGTTGGCTCCTTGAGTATGGTGGCACCTGATTACTGTACTCTGCTGGCATGTTGACCTTGGTCATCTTGCCCTACTGGCACAGAAGAGCAGGTAATGGCAACAGTGCAGCAGTTTTTCTGCCTTGTTCAAAACATCAATTTTCTGGTGCAGTAATTGACAGGAACAGGATTCTAAGATTTTACATTAAACTTTAAAATTCTGTAATCTTGGTACTTAGGCTGCAGGTTGTTTGTAGAAATTTTAGTCTACTTGTGCTTTATAGCTTTGGGTTATAAATTGCAAGCAATCATGGAGGTTATGTAGTGAAAATTCTAACACAAAAGACATTCCCTTAACATTAATTAGCTTTTACTGGAGTATTGACTAAAATCCACCATAAAACAGTCTTCTAAGCCTCTTCCAGACCTCCTTTTTCCAAATTATAGAGGTACTTTCTTCCCTTTAATTTAGGAGATGAGCTGTTTAGCTGTCTAGACAAATAACCATGGAAGCTGCTTTTTCTGTAACAGTGACCTACTTGCTTATACTGTAAAACTAATCTGTTTTGACAGTAACTCCAGAAAATTTCCTTCCTGGATTGCTTCAACATGGCTGCGGATTTTTTTTCTCCTATAGGGAACTTTTCTTGTCCTTTAAAAATGAACAGCAAAACACTTCATATTTGTATAATTTCAGATGTCATAAAAACCTACACCTTACAGAAGGAGGGATTAAAAAGGACACCGACATTTAAATGTTAGAATGTGAGATTCACATGCAGGATTTGGGTGGAGTCTCCTAGTGTCATTAAGCATTTAATTAACGCAAAAATACTGTCACTGTAAATCATCAATTGCTTATAACAGCATCCCAAATCTTATCATCACTTGTCCATCATAAACCATTACCTTGTGTTCTTGTTTTTATATATTATAATCTATTACATCCTGTCCACAGCTGGTATGCAGTAAAATGGGAAGTGTGGCTTTAATAGGACATGTGGGTGATGTCATAGTAAAAATTATACAACTTCCATTTCTTCTCCTGAATTCAGCATGAAAAGCCTTTACTGCTTTCACTTTTAAATGTATAAACATATAGTGAGTTAAGTACCTGAGGGAAGAAATGCTGTTTGATTATGATTAAAGATTAAAAAAACTGCTAGTAATGATGAGGTCAGGTTTGGCATATCATTTTTGTGAAGAAGAAAATGTTTTTGTAATATTCATGGGTATCAGTGGGTTGCTATGAGTAGAATTTGTATGACTTGGTTCTGCTAGTGTTACATGTGATGCACCTTTTATCAGAAATATATTGGTTTGGTCTTTACAACTCAAAGTAGCCTAGCAGTTTGAACAATAGCTTCATCCCCTCTGTTTACTTTACATTTTTCAAATTAACAGCCAGAGTTCTGTTCTATACCCGTTGAAACAACACATCAGCAATAAAACAATGGTATTGTGTATCACAGCACTGTCTATTTAGCTGTTATACTTACTCAAACGTATCTTTTGACCTGGTGCTCGTATCTCGGTGCCTAGTTATCATCCTTCTCCTGCCATACTGGGAATTAGAATAGAATAAAAGGTTTCTTGAAACTGTAGGGGACATCCTACAAGGATGAAGAATTGCAGCAATGTCTCAGTCCCTTGTGGTGACTATCACTGTGAGGACAAATGTAATCATTTTATTCCTGTCTGGGTCACATGTCTTCCAGTTCCTTGTGTGTGCACCTCCTGTGGTAGGTCTTGTGAAAGGTGGCTTTTGGGAGGCACCCCAGTTTGGGGAGACTGGGAACAGTGTTTTATTGCTCCAGTTGTTCAAGCTTGGGAAGATAAAAAGACTGATGAGTATCAGAGAAGGAACGGAAAGCGCTAGAGAGAGGGCACCAGATACAGAAAGATAATCTAGGACTTACATACACTTCTAGAGAAATGAGGCCACCAAAGCTAGAGCATTATAACTGTAAGGGTTGAGAACCTGGAAAGAATTAAGGTGCCAGACTCAGCAGTGCTTGAACTGGAGAACTTTAGCTGCTGTAATCATAAATAAAAAGGACTGCATCCTGTTTGGAGTATGAGATCTCTTCCTTTAGTGCATAGGGTAGAAATAGACAAAGCAGCAGCTGCTAGTTGAAAATGTCTAGCAGTGGAGGATCCTAAGGCTAATTGCAGTGTGAGCAGAGTTTCACTTAAGTTCAAACATTTCACTAAGATACCTATGTCCCAAAATTGTGCAACATAGGGTTTGGATTGAAGAGCTCCCAGGAAAACGTAAATAGGTAAACTGTTAATGCATGCTTGGTAAGACTGATGATGCTTACGCTTCACTCTGTAAGCCTGCTTTCTAAACTTGGTGCCTTCCAGGTGTTTGGAATAACAACTCCCAGCATTCATGGCTATTGGCCATGCTGTCTGGGGGTGATGGGAGTTGGTATGAAACTTCTAGAGGTTGCCAGCTTATGGAATACTGTTATAGGCAGTACAGACTATCAGTCAGATGGCAGAAAGCAGGGCCTGAATAAACCTACAGCTGTATTTTAAAGTGAAATTATATTTTGATTCTGAAAGTTAAGTATCAAATAGGAAAAGAGCAGTGAACTGTTCTCCGAAGCTGATCTGTTCTTTCATCAAAACCCATCTGCTATGTGATTCTCATTAATTAATCCTAATTAATTTAATAGAATAAACTAAGGCAGTAGCTTGAAGATTCAAAAGAAAAAGAACTTTGTATGCATTTTAGCAACACATTTCTGTGTTTCTTACTTGGCCAAAGTGTGATAGCTGTTGTATTTTGTTAAGTTCTCTTAAATGCTAGTTTTCTTATATGTTATACGTTTCAGTCTTTCTTGCTTTATTAGCTCTGGTGTTTTGATAATATTTCATTTTCACAGGAGGCTTCTACATAACTTGGCTTATCTGCTGTTCAGTATTTTTTCCTATTCTTCTTTATATTCTAATAATGGTTTTGTTTTGATTGATTAGAAAATGACATATTTCTGGGCATATTTCTTATTTGGAGGATAAAACGTAAAATATTTGAATAGGAAATTCTTATGGACTCCCATCTTCAGAATACCATGTAAAAGAGCCCTTGGCGACTGGTTGTGTTTCATGGAAATAAGTTTGGTTTATTACCTTGGGGTCAAAAGCACATAAAAGAGGATATATTGAGTTTGCTCTCTGTTTTTCAGAGCGCCCTGTAGCTGATAATGAGCGCATGCTGGATCTTTTGCAGCGCTATGGAGTCCAGAGAAATGAGGTTCGGTTCTTTCTTCGCCATGAACGCCCTCCTAATCGGGAAAATGGTAAGTGCTAAAATTTCCCTCACAAGTGCCATGAACATGTCCCCGGGATACAAACAAATTCCTTTCCTGAGAACATCCTTAATTCATATTTGTATGTAAGATGGATCACACGAGTAAGCCAAATGTTTGTCTTAATATATGCATTTATTTTACCTTTCTATGCATATAAAACTCTCAAGAAACCCTTCCATACTCACTAGAACATCTTGAACACAATGCAACATTGCAATAATGTTGATAATGCAGTAATAATAAACTAACTACAGGTACTGAGGAAAGAGAGTGAATTTTTATGTATGTGTATAGGTATACAGTATTGTTAAAAACAAATAAAATAACTGTTCTTAAAACAGTTTAAAACATTCTTGAGTTAATATTAACTCTAGCATTATGTTGGAAATGTAATAAAGTAGATGAGACTTCCCTAACATTATGTTGGAAATGTAATAAAGTAGATGAGTCTTCCTACCATATGTGGTGGATTTGTGACATAAGAAAAAGATTTTGGAAGTTGATGCGGAAATAGAAAAACTTTAAAAATGAGTTTCATATGAGTCCTAAGAATATGCTTTTGAACATAATGGTAGAGACTTTTTCAAAGAACATGTCAGAGTTATTCCAATACATGAGAACTGCAACAAGAATTATAATTACTTCTAAATGGAAAACTCCAGAATGTGCAACAATTGAAAGCTGAAAAAACAAGTTGGCTGAGCATGCAGTGATGGCAAAATTAACTTATTATGTAAACAAAAGACTGAAGAATTTAATAAATTGAAATTCTTTTATATCCCATATAATTAATATGTAAAAGGAAGCTTGTTAAAATATTGTCAATGATTTATAATTGATTTGGAGTGATTGGAAAATTTGTCAGTATACAGAAGTATATAATGATTCTTTTCCTGAGCTTCACTGAGTATTGACTGACAGAAAGATAGAAATTTTTGGTCTCTTTGGAAATTTGCAGGTTGTGAATGTATTGGTTATACTTTTTAAAGAAACCTTGGCAATTCTATTTCACTTGTCCCCTTATACTCTTCTTCTTTCTGTACTTTATCTAATTTAAGAAAACAATATTTAAAAAACCACATTAAGCCGAATATTAACTGTTGATGGAGATGGACCTGATGCTGGAGAGTCAGGGTTTCATTGTGCTGCTGAAAGGAGGGGAGGTTACCGCTGGAGTCTAGGGTCTGGATGTTGTGGAACAAAAAGCCATGTATCTCTAGGGAACTACATGGCCACTGAGGGATGCATCACCAGATGCTTTGCGTGATTCTCTAGAGATAGCAGTTACTGTTTCTAGGGAAAAGCCATGAATATCTCTAGAGAAAAACTGTGAATATCCCTAGGAAACGATGCAATGCATTTGGTGCCACATCATCAGTGACTACATAGTTCCTGAGAGATATCCACAGCTTTTCTCTAGAAATATTCATATAGGGTTTATGGCAGTCCACACATTTGTAAGTATGGTTGTTTGTAACCTGGATGTTTGTAACCTGGGGACAGTACCTGCATACAAATTTGGTTTGAAAGCCATATGTTCAGGAGAAGGTACACTGAATCTTTGTACAACCTATTTTATCCTAGACATATAGGGCATCTTTCTTTGTTTATGGCAGAAGATCCTTTATCCTTTGCCTAGGGTACTGTAAAATGCAGTCCCTTTCTTTTACTAGGGAAACACTCAACTGTATATGAGTGTTCATTTTCCAGCCTGATAAGTGTTTTACCCTGTAGTTACGTCCCACTGATTTCAGAACACACAATTCCACTTACTTAGCTCTGTATTTTTGAAAACACCCTGAGATTTCAGTCTCTTCCTTAGATAGTTTTGTTTGCATATCATTCCTGTAGCAATTAGTCAAAGAACCCTCTTTAGAGCGATTTAGCTTGATTAGGATGTGTGGCTGAAAACTGTTGATGAGTGCAAAATTGCAAGGAAGTTAAAATGTATCTGCTTTTACAGGTCAAACTCTTTGATTGTGCCATTAAAGCTGAGTTTATGCAAAACACTGGCATGGCTTGTTGCCATTTCTGCAGCTTGTCTACATGAATTTTCATGAAAGTTTATCTTTTGTTTCTCTTTTACTGTCCCCATCATATCAGACAAGGTTAATGCTTTTATTGCACATGCAGCATTTTAGGAGAAACATGGCCAGGGCTGCAACTGCAGTTAAATTGACTTGCAGATGTTGGATGACTTTGTACACAGTCTGAAGCAGCAAACCTAATTGAGTCTTCTCTTTCTTTTTCCAACCTCGTAACATAAAAGTTATATTGAAAATAATCCCTAAAATATTTTTTAGAAGTTTAATCTTTCCTTTCACTTTGTACTTAATAAAGGCAGTGGATCACGACTGCAGGATCCAAGCTTGAAGAGAAATGGTGTGAAAATGCCTGGTGAACGAAGAATAGAGAATGGAGTAAGTATCTTAACTACAAATAATTTATTCTACCAAATTTACAAATTTATAATTCAAAACAACTCAGCATGAAGTGAGAATTGTTCATGTTCTACTATTGTGATTAGTTGTTTTTATACATCTGCCTTATGTCAACTACATCAGTCACAGAAAACTAAAGAGATCTGTCACTCTGCAGTCGGCCGTTGTCTGTCTGTGTATTCACATCATCATCATTATTATTATTATTATTATTATTATTATTATTATTATTATTATTAAAACATTTCTATGCCGCCCCTTGCCGAAGCCTCGGGGTGGCTTACAACACAATAAAATTCAAAAATAACAATATAAAATTAACAATATAAAATAAATAACAATGTAAAAGACTTTACATGGAGTCCAGACTGAGAAATCCCAAACTGGCTACAAAGATTTTTTTAAAGAAAACACCCTTGTCAGTGTTTTCTTAAAAAAAACAATCTCCTATAGGAAGAGTGTGCACTACTGTTGTACTTGGAGGAGCCCCTGGTTAAACAGACAGTATGCAGTGTAGTGTCAGAAGTCTATGCTACACAGCTCCTTCAGAGTTAACCTAAAGGAACAAGCTGCTTAAAATAGTCAGTGTGGTAATCTGGGAGGCTTCTTGAATCATTATTTTGTCACAGGAATTAAGAAAATGGTATTTGATAAAAGGGATACAAACTTTTCATGTTTAATCATGGGGGCTAGCAAGAGTAACTAGACTTGTAGCTAGTAAAATGTTCTTCTTGGAAACTACAGTGGAAAGGTTTTGCTTTAAGATCAACATATTTAGTATAAAAAAGATCTTCCTCATGGCTTTCTATTTAATCCTGTTATTAGGGTGGTGCATCTTGGCTTTTGGTACTTAATAGGTCAGTATGTGTTGGATTGACACAAGACCAACTATAGAATGAGGGAAGTGTCTCTGGTGGCAGATGCTGGATTCCACCAATGGCAGCTCCCTGGAAGTTCCTTCTGACTCACTGTTCCTTTCATGTTGTTGAGGACAGAACTGCATCTGCTACACAGTCTGTCCCACTTTGCTTAAACTGGCCTGCTGTCTTCAGGCATAATAAGTTTGGCCATATGGAAGGGAAATTCAAATGGCAGTTCATCCAGCTTTCTACACATGGAATTGGGAAGAGGTGTCATCTTGTCCTTAGCTTCAGGTGGTAGATACCCTGGGCTGATGTGAGTTGTTGGCTGAATGCTGGTAACTTGGCCTGGGGATTGAACATGGATGGCTTCTAGGTACCTTCTGCATTGGTGATTTAGTCAGTGTCCATTGGAATAAAAGTAGCGTAACTGTCTTCCTTTTCTCCATTAATTTTGAGTAGTATTTGCTTTCACCATTTATTCTGGTACAGAGGCTGCTCTATACTTCTGAAGCCAGGTGGAAAATATGTTGTATGAACTTTAACAAAATACAGTGTTTGTGGCATATTTTGATTTTTTTTTATAATTGAAGATTAATGCTCCTCGGATGGATATGACTCTGGCTGAACTGCAGGAAATGGCATCACGACAACAGCAACAAATAGAGGCTCAACAGCAATTGCTAGCTAACAAGGTTTGTTGAAATAAGTTTCTGTAAAACTAACTTCAGTGTTAAAGTGCTATAGGCTGAGAGCTATGCCTTGGCCAATATCATCTGCTGAATCCACAGCAGAGTTGAGATTTGAATTCAGTACCCTTTGTGTCAAATTATTTGACCATACTATCATACCATATATAGCGCAGTTGTTTTCAAACTGTAGTTTAAGGATTGCATGGGTTGCTGACCCCTGCCCTTGTTCCTTGGAAGCATAGTTTAAGGGATCAGCAACCTTAAACACTCAAAGAGCCATTTGGACCCGTTTCCTACAGAAAAGAAAACACCAGGAGCCACAAAACTCATTTGACATCTAAAATGAAGATAACACTGCATATATCATTTTTACCTTTATGCTATGTATAAAAAACTATATTGTGTTGCATTTATGAAATCAATGAACTGCTACAGAGAAAACAATTTTTTATTTCTGCATGCAACAAAAACATTTTGAACTCCGAAAAAAAAGACATTGTGTTGAAGGTTACTTTCAAATAAAATACTCAGTGTGTATTTGATTCCTCCTCATATTTATGAAATAAAAGCTGGACTTAAATTATGATTTTTGCTCAGATCAACCTTCCACATCAGTTCTGAAATGGCTTTTTTTCTCTCATCTCCATCTGGATATTTTTCAGCAAAGGCTGTGTGTTTATTCTGGAAATGTCTTGCAACATTTTGTTGTTTGCCAATTTCTCACCACATATTAAGCATACTGGTAAACCAGTCTCGTCAGCAGTGAAAGCAAATGGATCTGCCCATATACCATTAAATGTTCTGTTTTCTTCTGAAACTTTTCTTTTCTGGGATTTATCCATGGTTGGCCTACTGGGGTCAAAAAGCTTAATAAATTGCGTGCTGGCAGGTGTCACACATTGGCGGTTGTGACGCATATTTTGAGCAGCAGGGAGATGCAGCAGAGGGATGAAAGAGCCACATGCAGCTCCAGAGCCATGGGTTGCTGACCCCTGCCCTGGTTCCTTAGAAGCATAGTTCTTGTTCATCTGGGAAGATTACTAACAGAACATGAGCTTCCTTGAAAGATACTTTGTCTGCTGTTGATAAACTTCAAGCAATGCTGACAGATCTAAGATCAATTCCCTAGCTCTTTTTTCAAAATAGGAAATTACTGGGTGGGGGGAGGTCTCTAACCCTTTCCTCTAGAACTAAATTCTCATTAGTCAAATTACACACCTTCACTTCCCTTCACTTTTGCTTTCTCTCTGCTTTCTACTGGTGGTTAAATATGCAAATGCTAAACCATTTGTTTAGTTCCTTAACATCTTTTTCCTTCAGTATTATGGGAGGTTTTCTAATTACATTAATCAAGTGAACTGCTGCAGACATGTACCATGTTTCATCTCTTCCAGATATCCTATGTCATCAGTGTATTGCTATTATATAAACTTATGCAAAATTAGCATAATGCTTGTTTTATTCATCTTTAGGAGCAGCGTTTAAAATTTCTGAAACAGCAGGATCAGCAGCAGCAGCAGCAAGCTGCAGAACAGGAAAAACTCAAAAAGTTAAAAGAAATTGCTGAGAATCAAGAAGCTAAGTTGAAGAAAGTAAGAGCTCTCAAAGGCCATGTGGAGCAGAAACGACTCAGTAATGGGAAACTAGGTGAGCTTTGTGTGATTGTCTTATCACTGCCTGTTATGATTTGTAAGTTGCAGTGTCCTTGGGCTCCAGGTTGTCAATTCAGGCTTCCTCAGTTGTACTGCATGTCATCTGTATTGGCAAGGGTGGCTTGTTTTTTTTATTTCTTAGAGTCATGGGTTCTGTGTAGTTCATTAAGTACCTCAAGACGTTTGAGGGTTTCACGTGTAATTACCCAGTAAGGGTAATTAGGGAAATGAGCCAGCGTCCAACCAGCATGCATGGGGGTAGTTGATAAACTACCAAGGTTTATTAAATGCTTTTGTGCTTGAACTGTTTAAAATTCTAAGTCTCATGGAGGGCTCTTTCTGGGTTGGAAGACAACTCAGAAATAATTAGTGGCATAAAATGCGCTCCTCACAGCCATTTAAAATAATTTCATATATTGAAGTATTGACATTGATTTATGAATGGAAATGGGAATGATCTACTGGTAACAAAAGAAAAGTAGCAAATTCTTGAGAAATAGATCATTTTATATGTACTGCTAATTTTGGGGAAAAATAAGCACCTAGCATGCTATTAGAACTAGATAAATATTAAAAATAGTAGTACTAATACTTTGATATAGAAATCCTGCCCCTTGATCAGCTCATTTAGCAAGCATTTGTTGATTTAGCAGCATTTGAACTATGTGCCGCTTGAAGTGTCTTGTAGTAGATAGTTTGAGCAGAGATTGCCACCACTTCCAGTGGGCTGTACAGTGTCAGTGGTCTGGCTGTATTCACTGCCATCACGACCCCTCCCCATTTTACCTTTTCCCCTGCTGAGACTGGAGAAGACAGCAACAATTTTTGTAGGAAGAATTCACAGTTTCTTTGGGCTAGATGCAGTACTTGGAAGTTCTCAATCCCTGTGAATAGAGCATATCTTAGTTTGTTCTTGTCCTGTTGTGGTTCTTCAGGGATGCCAGGCTTTGCTTTCCTCAGATTGCAGCAGTAGAGTTGCAGACTACAGCCCTCCTATTCATTGCTGACTTGCAGGATGATAATATGCACTCATGCTAAGCAGAAACTTCCTTCTAGTACTTTCTTATCTCTCTATTATATACAGGAAACTTTCATGGTGCTAGAAGTTGTCATTTTCCCCCTTCAAAACAGAGTAATATAGGTATTCATCTGAAATTTAGTAGAAACTGTTGGGCATGTTGATTTGGCAAGATACAAAAGTGAGGAAGGAGAGACTAAAAATGCAGAGGGAGAGAGGAAGAGAAAGACAGGAAGGATACATACAGAGGGGGCGGGGAGGAAGAGAGTATTGGAGAGAAGGAGGAGGAGTACCATTTGCCCTGACTACTGCATGCATATAACTCCAGGAAAAAAAATTCCTAAGGGTTAAAATGAGTTATATTCCCCTGTTTTTATCTTTCAGAAAGCTACATTCATTGACTACTACAGTATAAATAATGTTGGTTTTCTCAGTACTTTGATATTTCCCCTCACTTTAATACATATGTCAAAATTTGAAAATAACTAGAACAACTTGACTCAAATTTTCCTGTTCCTCACCGTGTTGTTTAAATACTGTCTGACCTAGTCTGAATTATCAAAAAACACATATGCTATTTATGAGTGCACATCTGTGAATTAGTGTGCTGGTTGTTGCTTATTGTTTGTCCAGGCCAAACCCTAACTTGGATGTCCATAAACAACCCAGATCTACTGGGTTCACACATTATGGAACGGCCCTAGGCTGTTACATGAAAACAGAAGTGGCAAATGTGTAGGAGGAAATATGCTTATCTGCACTCAAATGCCCTGGCCAATTCCTGGTTTGAACAAACTGGCTCAATGCAGTTTTAAATTAATTAATGGACTTAATTTATATCTCCTGCCCCACATCATTTTATACGTCCCATACATAGGAAAAATTTGAATCAATTCACATTAAAAAGCATTGGCTAGTGGCTAACTCTCCCAGAACAAAACTTCATCTCTTAAACTTGGACAGTACATACATGCCTTTTCTCACTCATTTGCTTCATTTTAGCCTCCAGAATTGAATATCTTCCTTAACAGAACATAATGTTCTTGTATAGTTCTATGGTTGTTAGTAATAATACAGTGAAGAAAACTTTTCCTATGATAGAGATCCTTTATAAAATCTGTAATTTGGTGTAGTCTTCTTTCAGCTCTGTGTTAGAAGGCGTTCCTGTCCCCTTAACAGCTGCCTTGGAAGCAGCCAACATTTGGGCATTTCTCAGTCACAGCTATTGTATTCTGTCTTCCTCTTCAGTGGAGGAGATTGAGCAGATGAACAGTTTGTTCCAGCAAAAACAGCGAGAACTGGTACTGGCTGTGTCAAAGGTAGAGGAACTTACCAGGCAATTGGAGATGTTGAAGAATGGCCGAATTGATGGTTACCACGACAACCAGTCTGCTGTAGCTGAACTTGACCGCCTCTACAAGGAGCTTCAGGTAACTGTAAATCTCTTCTGCAAGCCTGCAATCATGGCTAAAGGGGCAAGTCCCATATTGCCTTGCAAAAGAACTGGCTTTGACTTTTCATCTTTTCTGACAAAGTCAGAAGCATGCAATGTCTGATGTTACTTCTTCATCTGTGTTCTCAGTGTAGATTTTTTAACTACCTGGCATGCTGTGCAAAGAAGCAAAGCCTAAGCAGAACTTGCTTGCATAGAACTTCTAACCTTTTAACAACTCACATCTTTAAAAATATATCAAGTGCATGGCAGCCACCCTGAAAAATATTTGTTTTGCATTCTTGATTTCCCCTCCTGAATGCATTCAGTTGAGGAACAAACTGAACCAGGAGCAGAATGCCAAGCTGCAGCAACAGAGGGACTGTTTAAACAAACGAAACTCAGAGGTGGCAGTTATGGATAAGCGTGTTAATGAGCTAAGGGAACGACTGTGGAAGAAAAAGGCAGCACTACAGCAAAAGGAGAATGTACCGGTACGTGCCAAAATCCCAAAATTATTGTTCTTTTACTGAAGCATATTTAACTTACTGGGTGATGACAAAAGGGTGCTGAAAGGCTATATATATTAAATCGCTAGCACTTCCCTTGTAGCAGGAAAGCCATTTTGATTGTACTGAAGGATGCAGCTAAGTAATCCAACTGAATTTCCCCCCACTATGGGCTGTGTTGCAGATTCTTTGTTAATCTTTATGCCTCTTGTTTAGGTGCCTTCAGATGGCAATCAGCCACAACCAGTGGTGTCGACTCCAAGTCGAGTGGCAGCTGTTGGTCCTTACATCCAGTCCTCCACCATGCCACGTATTGCCTCAAGGAATGAACCTTTGGTGAAACCAGCCTTTCCAGATGGGACTTTAACCTTACAGGCTGCAGATGGTCCATTGAAAACCCAAACTCTTCCAAATATGAGGGCTGGAGTTCTTTCACAAATGAAAGCTCCTGGTAATGAACAGTTTTTTCTTCTGGCTGTTAGTTGTACGAAATATGTTGGCCTTTCCTTTCATCACCTGTTCTGATTTATCAGCAGCTTGATATGTAAGAAGCTAGGTTCAACAATTAGTCTACTGAATATCATTTATTTTTCTGAAATCAACAGTGATACATCTACTTTTCTGTTTTCTTCATTCATCTTAACCAACTTTTAGATAGGTAGTTCTTTTATTTTGTATGATGGATTGAAAACTGGACTCTATTGCTGTAAATGCAAAACACAGATATTCAATATACTTAAAGCACAAAAGAAAGTTATCTAAGGCCGATTTTTTCTTAACATGAGTTTCATTAATATTCTATGCTGTGTTAGCATCAGTGTTCACACAGAATTCCGAAAATTAGATTTGATTGGATAACACTGTGCTTGGAACTACTAGGAACAAATAAGTCATCCAAATGTGAAGCACTAATGGCTTGATATATTAGTTCATTCTGGTATGCAGGAATCCTACTTTTGTTTATAAGGAGAGCAAGAAAGTTTATGAATGTAAGCTTTACTCTTTAATAATGCAGATACTTTGATTAGAAGGTGAACTACACTGCATGAAACTGTGTGTGTGTGTGTGAGTGTGAGGGAGAGGGGGAGGGAGAGGGGGAGAGAGAGAGAGAGAGAGAGATGCTTAAAAGGGATATGCAGAATATTCATAGCCTGAGGAATCAGACAGTGCTGTTCAGTGCTTTATATTAGTTATAGCTCAGTGCTTTACAAAACCACTGCCCCTGAAATTTAGAGATAGTATGAAGAAGAGGTACAGGACTTGCTAAGAGTTGACCATAACCATAAATTATCCACAGAGGTCTTGCTGTACATTTGTACAGATGTTTAAAACAAAGATAGCTCTTGTGGGTTACTGATACATAAAACAGGTTTCTATTTTATTTTGTATATGACTTCCTGTATCTAGATTCTTGCAATTGGATACTTGTGAAAGCCATAATTATACATTGTGTACTCGTGATTAGTATACAGTTTATATTAGTCCCCACCCCACCCTACCCTCCCAAAAACCTAAGATTACTGATTATTAGGACAGGAACTTAATTGTAGCCTTCTGCATTTTCACAAGTGTATGGATGCTGGAAGTACTCAAGATTTGGTTTCTTCTGATAGTTCACCATCATGTTTGACTTGGTCCCAAGGCTGGTATTCTTTTCCACAGCAGAATCCTGTGTAGCTTTGTTAAATTCGCAATGATTAGGTGCACTTACTGTTTTAGGATAGGATAGGATGGAAGTCAGGTTGAAGGGGCCTGTAAGGCCATCAAATCCCCCCTGCTCTGCTTCCACATGTGGTCACGCATCTGGCTGCAGTCCCACACCTTTCTAGCTCAGCATAGGTGACTCAATATGCTAGTTCAATTATGCAGGTAGACTTTTGGATTAAAATTAATTATTAATTCTGAGAAGAGCATCCTTATATGCATTATTGTTGTCCTTGCAAGAGTGATGCTTTTCAAGAAGCCAAAAGAAAAGAGAAATTCTGGAACAACAATAAAAATGGCATTAACAATCCAGTATCTTTTTTTACTGGAAAATTATGAGAAATATTTTCTTAATATTTTTTCTTCAGGAACTACACCTGCTGGTTCAAAACCTCCACTTGCTATCAATGACTGGAATAATGCAGCTGCTGATAACTTGATCAACCAAGGGCTAACTTCCTCAGCAACAAAAGCCAATGGTAGCAATGAAGGGCTGGGTAAGTCTTATGGTGCAGGAGTTTATTTCATTGGCAGTGTGTTATGGTTATTAAAAGTTTTTACAAATATTTGTGCCTGTTTCCAAAATGAGAAGCAAAATGTCATGCTTATGTTACAAAAGTGTACTTTAAAGAATGCTTACCAATGTGTTTAATCAGCTCTGATGCTTTCCTTCAGTCTGCTAGATGGAATGCCTAACATTTTTACAGAACTGGTTTGATTGTTGCTCTATTCTTACTGCTTTAGCTTGGTGGATACTATTGAACCTTGCAGTCTGGACAATTGGGATTGACTCCCAACATGGCTGGGTTGTTCCTGATAGTGGGTATGATAGTAGTACTGTGACCTATCCTCTTCCCAATGCCCATCTGAATCTTGTTTGTTGGGTCTTTAAAGAAGGTTATGTAGTTCCACTAGAGGGTTTTGCTTAGAACTGAACTATGGAAATAGTCTTTTGAATCCGTTATTTCTGCTCTGTTTATTTTCTCTGCTAGCTGTATGAAATAAGTACAGTTTGCCATTTTTAACAACAGCAATAACTTTTTATTTAAATTTTAACAAATATTGAAATATTTCACTTTAGACTTTCTCTTTTAGCTGGGGATGGAGAAGTTCCTCTTAGAGAAAGAGAGAAGAAAGTACGTCCCTTTTCCATGTTTGATTCTGTTGAATCCAATGCCAGTACTACAACGCCCACAACAGGTATACTACGAAAAAACCAGAGTAGTGAAGACCTCTTGCGTGATGGCCAGGTATTCAGAAAATGTGTGGTGTCTCTTAAATTCTTACCTGTTCTTTCTCTCTAATCATAGCAGATGTATCTAAACCCATGTGGTAGCACGGTTATGAATCTGTGCCAAGTTTCTGATTGTCTCATTAGCAAGCTTGAACTACTGGCCATAATATGAGACTTGGTATTTGGTTTTGGGTGAGGTCAGGGCTTGGTGGGTGGTTTTGGCAAATGGTAACCTCTGCCATAAATTTTCCATCTGTTAGACAGGACATAATGGCAAATCTCTCTTACAGAGGGATGTTTCTTTGTGTGATTGAGCAGAAAATTATGCCATCTGCCTTTAGGAGTACGGGAGGGGATAAACATCTTTAAAATAAGTTTGTGCAAAAACAATTTGCCTCTTTTAGTCTTAACGCAGAGCTGCAGCATGATGCTGCCCATGACATGGGTCCAGTATATCTGTTACCAAGTGAAGAACAGAGAAATAACTGGGAATGTTATCTAAATATATATATTTATTTATCAATTTATTTTGAAGCTGCAACTATTCATGAGCAAGGATATGAGATAGTAATATCTGAGTATCTTTGCAGACCTGTGTGTGTCTTTGATTTGCTCTAGTGAGATAGTTTCACCTTTGACCCACCAGTGTTGGAATGGTTTTTTACTTTTTAGTTACTGTTTTACCTTGCAGATGGGTGCTAAAAATGTGGCAAAAGTACCACCACCTGTTCCCACCAAACCAAAACAGATCAATTTACCTTACTTTGGTCAAGCCACTCAGCTGTCCCCTCCAGATGTTAAGTCTGATGGTAATGTCCAGAAGTTGCCTCTGACAATTGCAGCTGTGGGAAGCAAACAGAAACCACCAACCTCACTGACACCACCAGGATCTCAGCAGGTTCAGCAAAGAATTTGTGTGTCCCCAAGTGGCCCTGCCACTAACCCGGATTTGACTCTTCCTAAGCAAGAAAGCCCTCCTGCAGCAGCTGTGAGACCTTTCACCCCACAGCCAACAAAAGAGGCCCCTCCACCGCCTTTCCGAAAGCCGCAGACTGTGGCTGCAAGTTCAATCTACAGCATGTACACAAAACAGCAGACTCCCGGAAAGAACTTTCAGCAGGCAGTGCAGAGTGCCCTGACAAGGGCACAAACCAGAGGACCGCATTTTCCAAGTGGTGAGTGTTTGGATATCGTTTTGCTTTTTCAAGGCATGCTTTGTTTCACCAAAGGAAACATAGATTTGCTGAATCAGGAGTAGAGAAAGTGGTGTTTGCAGATACCTGCACACCCTTGGAGAATGTCTTTACCACCCAATAAGGATCCCATCTCTCCCAGCTGTTTTTTAAATAACAAAGTTTGTTACTGGCAGCTGGAATTGCTTTGAAGTAAAATGCCTCCAGCTGCTGCCATCTTCTTTTCTCATGATGGCCTCTGGGCCATGCATGGGGCTTTGGAAATGAAGAATGGCTACAGGATGCTTTCTTTTGTACTGCATCCATTTTGTCATTATGATGGTGCCTTGGACAGTTTCTTAAATTGCCAATTGTACCATGGACCCAAGAAGGCTTGCCTATCACTGCGTTAGAGAAGTGAGGGGAGGTCATCTGCCAGAAGTGAGCAGCTTGTGGTCCTACAGATGTTTTAGTGTACAACTTCTGTAATCCCTCACCAAAGCATGTAGAGCAGGGGTCCTCAAACATTTTGAATAGGAGGCCAGTTGAAAGGTGCCAGGGATGGGCACAGGCTGCCAAGGCAGTATGGACAGGGAGCATGGGCCGGGCTGGGGGGGGGGCACATGTGCACGCAGAAAAGCAGGGGCATGTGTGTGCAGAGATCCTTTTCTCCAAGCGAGTCCAAAACTATGTCCTTGCGAGCAAGCCGGCACCTTGCTGCGTGTGTGCGCACGCGTGGCGAGCTATGGCTGGCCGGATCCAGCCCGCAGGCCGTAGTTTGAGGACCCATGATCTAGAGGGTCTCAGGTCGCTCATCCCTGCTGTATTGTAAGACATTAATGTCATCCATACTGAGAATTCAAGGAATATATTAAAATATTCTGGTCTAGTCACATCTCTTTAGTCATATATTGAGTTGAATATAGAATAAGTTAATTGCAGTTAGAGCCATGGAAACAATACAGAAGGTTATGATTAAGTGAAACCTCATTTTTAATGGGAACTAAATTGCATCAATTTATTCTGGACTCAAGCTATTTAAGATTCATGAAAATACCTTCTTTTTCTTACTGAGGGCTTTCTCTCTCACACTGTTCTCCTCCTGCTCTTTCCCCACAGCTACAAAGTCAAGTTCTTTTTTTGGGGAAATGGAAAATAAATAATTTATCCATTATATATATAAAACTTGCAGAGGTTCATACATTTGCTGCAATGGTTAGAGCTAATGTTCATTTTTTGTTTAGTGTTAATTTCACAGCAGAAATTGAACAAATGTAATCTCTCCTATGTATAAAGTGGGTAACGCTATGTTGATCAGAATGGTAGCAAAAGCAGGGCTGACCACAGCTTAAAGATAAGAGTTTTTGCTTGGGGATAAGGGCTGGCAAAAACTCTAGGTATATGGATGATTGAAATTATTTTGAAGATGAAGTATCCACTGAAAGTGCACAGACTAGTGGTTATGCATGCACACCTCTCCCACCCTTATGCTACCATAGGAGCTGTCAGCATGAGGTGAAAGATCAGGTACATGTCCTCAAATGACTGGGTGGCTATTGAACCAAAGAGCAGCAAGCTATTCAGGTCTCTACCCCCTTTGGTGCTCAGAAGGCTTCTCTAACTAATCTCTTCCTCCCAAAGGTATTTTATATTATTTGGGGCTTGTCTGCAACAAAAATGTGTTAGTCGAAATGAAAGAAGGAGTCACTTAAAATAAAAAAGGCGGAAGAACAAAACTCAGAATTCCTTATGCTTTGTTATATTCCCCAAGGTATGGGAGAGAGGGGAGTTCATGTGTATGATTGACAGGAGCAATAGCTGATATTCACAGTGTTGAGTCAAGCTGAATTTATGTAAAGTTTTATTCATGCAAAGTGTTTAGTAGTAAATTCTACACGTGCTTGCTTTCCTTGCTAAATGTTTTATGGCTTACTTTCTGAATTGCTCCTCAGTGTATGGGAAGCCAGTTATTGCTGGAGCTGGTACTCCAAATCAACAGCAGCAGATGGAGAATGTGTATTCAAATACTCAAGGCAAGCCAGCCAGTCCAGAGCCTGAAATGGAGATTACAGCCTCAGCCAGTGAAAATAACGAAACAGAACGTATTCCTCGTCCACTCAGTCCAACAAAGCTTTTGCCTTTCTTGTCAAATCCTTACAGAAATCAAAGTGATGCAGATCTGGAGGCTCTTCGGAAGAAGCTGTCCAATGCACCAAGACCACTGAAGAAACGTAGTTCCATTACTGAGCCAGAGGGTCCTAATGGCCCCAATATTCAGAAACTTTTGTACCAAAGAACAACTCTGGCTGCTATGGAGACAATTTCAGCACCATCATACCCATCAAAGCAAGCCTCACCAGCCATTACGGAGAGCTCAGTTGAAGTCCCAAACCCTTACCTAAGCACAGAAGCAGTGAAAGAAGTGGTTCCTATACCACCTGAGCCAGCTATTGCAGAGGAGGCAGAAAACCCAAAAACTGATCAGAACACAAGTTCTTTGCCTTCACCAGGACTAGATAGGGTTCCTGAAATGACATCTGACAACACTCCTCTTACTCAGCCTGAAATGGAAGAACCCAGTCTAGATGTGCCCTTGCCCATAGAAATGTACATGGAAGAATATCCTCCCTACCCACCACCACCTTATCCTTCAGGAGAACCAGAGAGTTTTGGAGAGGACTCATTTAGTATGCGACCACCCGAAGTCACTGGGCAGTTCTCTTTACCACCTGTAAGTAGAAGCATCATTTCCATCATTTTAGGCACTCATTGTCAAGGTGGTATGCTGTGCCACTTCCGCAGTTTAGAGCACTTTGTACTCAAGGTGACACAGCTTTATTGATTGTCAGCCACACATTGCTGTTTTGCAATATCTTCTAACCTCCTGATGGAAACCCTGTTTGTACTGAAGAGACAGAAGGATGAACTTTGATGCTGAATGAATTGTTTGTTATAGTAGAAAAGGTTATAGTCCTGAAGGACAAACTTCATGTAAATGAGTCAGGTCTTACTGAAGGCAATTATTCATTATCTCTTCTTGAAGCAAGTACTAGATATTCTACGCAATGTTTCTGGATCACAGTGTTAGAACTATGAATGATCTGAAAATGGTAAGAGGCAAACTCGTGCAAAATTTGCTGGGCACCATTTTGAATACATAGTCTCTGATCAGGGTGGTTGCTGCATCATACTAACTAGGCCACAGTGGGTTATTTGAGCATTAATCCTTGCATTATCCTACTACAAACCAAGAGTTGAGGGTTGTTTAACTCTCAGATAATCCTCAGTGGTTGGGTTTGCATGACATGGCAATTTCCCAATCACCTTGATCAGAGGTTGAATATTTAAAATTGTACCTGGTCATGGCACATTGGGGCTTAAGCAAAGCAAGATGAACTTGATCCATCATAGATGAGCCAGATCAATATTACAAAGAACTCTAGGTGCTTGCCAGCACAGGTAGACCATTGCCACTAATTAAGAAGCAGATAAACTTTCTGCATGCCCCCCCCACCTCAACCCAACAATTTGCACGCTCAGTCTCAGAATAACCCAGCTTTTTTCCTTCCAAGGAACTCCAGGTGGGTTACATATTTCTCCTCCACCTCTCCATCTTATTCTCGTAACTACCCCATATGGTAGGTTGAGCTGAGACTGAGGAACTTGCTCAAAGTCACCCAGTGAACTTCATGGTTGGGTGGGGGCTAGAACTCAGAACTTCTGACTCCCAGCCCTGTACTCTTAACCACTAACACCACACTGACTCTCAAAAAATATTTTTGCTGTTGCTGTCTTTGGTTCTGAATTGGCTATTGGACTCTGTTTTGTTTTCTTACCATTTTCTCTAATGGATTTGCTTTGGAATCCTTTCCCTCTAAGATTTGCTATGGAAAAATCTTACTAAGACTCCCTTAATGTGCTACAGTAACTATCAGGGAGGTTAAATGTATCCTAAATCTTTTGTTTAAAAATGCGGGGAGGGGAATCTCCAAATACCACTTCCTTAGACAGTGATTCAGTTGCACTTCATACTAAGGCACAGTTGGATATCAACTCAGGCGGCTACAGAGAGTCCTAAATGATATCCAAATGCAAAGCAACTTTCCTTTTGTTAGTAGATCAGTGCAAAGAAGCCACCCTGAAACAGAGTTGTTTCACAGAGTTGTTTAAAGTTGTTTGTTCTCAGGTTGGTTAGTGTGATGTTTGAACCCAACAGGGCAATTTCCTTCTTGGATTATCAGAATGACAAGGGCAGTAAAATAACCTCAAGGACTGTGGAATTGGTGGTGGAGAGGAATAGCAAGATATAGTGTCCAAATGTTTGAGCTAGATATAAATTCCCCATGGAAATGCTAGTTGGCCTTTTTTAATATTTAAACACAGAATAGTAATGTTATTTTGGAGTGTAGTAATGTTACTCTTAAAAGGCATGCATGCTCTTATACTTGAAAGATATCTTCCAAATTGCTAAAAAGAGAGGAGTCTTTTTCCCCGCTTTACAGTATGAATTGAACTGAAGACAACATGACTCATTTCTGTTGATGTTTTTTAGCCTGACATCTGTCAAAATTTACATATGCCTCTGAATAGTGTTTATTGCAGCTTCTCAACCAGCTGAAGTCTATCATTGTAATAAAACAAGAAATCCTGGGTGGGGAATAACACCCTACAGAATCTGAGTTGTATTTCACATAGCTGTAAAATGTTTGATCCTCCCAAGTTTCTCCATGTGAACAAATTCCATAGTATACATTTTCAGTTTTCAAATGCTAAAGGGCAAGTAGTAAAGGCCTTGCTTTAAGATTGGGTAACTAATTCTAAGTATCCCTTTCACTGTTCCTTTGAATGTCAGGTTGGTCTGTAATAAAACAGTAATCATTTGTGATCTGACTGGGGATGAGGGGGTCAACTTGGCCTGTCTCACAGAGAACTGGCTGGAAGAAGACACAGATATGGGCACAGGACCTCCTAGTTGGCTGTTGTGTTGTGGAGCGAGTAAGGGAATGTAGGTGAGGGGGTGTTGTGGCTCTGAACTGTAGGAATACCATCCCATTGACCAGGCACTTTGTCAAGGAACTGAAATGCTTTGAATGTGTGTACTTGAGACGGGGGTCCAAGGACAGACTGGTGATTCAGCTGGTATATAGAACACCTTGTTGCTTAGCAGAATTTCTGGCTGAACTTACAAAACTGGTCTCAGAACTGGTGTTGGAATCCCCCAGGCTGCTAATCCTAGGGAACTTCAGTGTTGCTTATGCGTCTAGTTCATCAGGTGCTGCTCATTAGTTAATGATGACCATGACAGCCATGGGCCTGTCCTAGTTGGTCTCTGGACCCACACATACTGCTAGATACATGCTTGATGCTACATTAGGTTATGAACAGCTGGTTTTGAAGACTGGGGTTTCTATATACTCAGTCTTGCCTAGGTCAGATCATTACTTGATCAAGGCTGAAATCACAGCCTTTCTTTGTGCCTCTGCAGAGATAATGGTCCTATTAGAATGGTCTGCCCCCCAAAACATATGGTTCCAGTAGGTGTCCAGTCAGCTCTCGGGGGCTTTTTGGCTACTTCTGTCAGCAATCCTGTTGAGTTCCTGGTAACAAAATGGCACTGACTAGGGCCTTAGACACAACTGTTCCTGAGCATCCTCTCCATCCTCTTCTAAAAGAGCTTACTACTATACAGAGGAACTCCAATGTATGAAACAGGAAGAATGATGACTAGAGTACATATGGCAGAAATCTAGACTTATCTCCACAAAACACTTTACAGAGAGCATCATGTCCAACAGAGCAATTTAGGTAGTTAGTCAACCCCAATACCCCCTAGTCTTTGGATCAATTTCAGTTTGAAAGCCCTCATAAGGTTGACAGTTGAGAGATGAGAAAAACCACCTGCCCTTTCCATTCATGCCCATCTTGTCTGGTAGTCCAGGGGACGGAGGCACTGACTGAGCTATTATGTCTTATCAATGACTCCTTTAGAGAGGGTAGGATTCCTGGAGGAGGCTATTGTATGACCTCTCCTTGAGAAACCAATTTTGAACCCCTTGGACCTTATCAACTTTAATCAGTTGCAGATACACCACTTCTTCGTAAGGTGATTGAGGTGGTGGTGTCTCCAGGTGGGCCTGAATAATAACGACTTTCTGAATCCATTTCAGATTGGCTTCAGAGCAGGATAGCGTTGAGTCTGCTTGTCTCTAGTGGATGATCTACAACTCCGAATTGACAGGGGGAGTGCGTCCCTGTTGGTTCTGTTGGATCTCTCATCAGCCTTTGATTCTATAAACCATAATATCCTTCTGGATCATCTGTTGGGAATTAGGGACACTGCCTTGCATTGGTTCCATTCCTACTTCTCAGGTCAATTCCATATGGTGATGCTTGGAGACAGTCGCTCCTCCAAGAAGGAGCAGGCTTGTAAGGTCCCTCAGGACTCCAGTTTGTCTCCAGTGCTATTTAACATCTACATGAGGCTGCTAGGAGAGATCACCGAGAGGAGTGGCTCAGGGTGTTACCAATATGCTGATGACACCAAGATCTTTTTTTCCTTACCACCATCTGCTGCTGCATGTAGAGACAATGTCTTTCCTCTGAAGCTGGTAATGAGCTGGGAGAAACAAATTGAAGTTGAATCCAGGCAGAATGGAAGTGCTTGCTGTTCAGGGTTCAAATCCAGGCTCAGGTGTGTGTCAACAAATTCTCAATGAAGGTCACACTCCCTCGGAAAGAACATTTCATAGTTTGGGGGGTGCTGCTTGATCTTTAGATATCCACACAGATAGAAGCCATGGTCAAGAGTGCTTGTTACCAGCTTCAGTGGATTCACCAACTGGATCTGTTCCTGGAAGAAATGATGTGAAAACAGTACTGCATGTGCTGATAACTTTCAGGGTTGATTTCTATAGCGCACTCTGCATACAGTTTACCCTTGTGCCTACTTGGGAAACTGCAGCTAATACAAAATATGGCAGACACATTGGTCTCTGGGACATTAGGGACAGACCATATATCACCAATATTAAAGTCTCTGCATTTGCAGTACAAAGTATTGGTAATTACCTTTAAAGCCCTTAATGGCTTGGGTCCAAAATACCTTGAGGAGCATCTTTGCCCATATATTCCATCTTCCCTGGTTAGGTCCTTTGAAGATAATCTTTTGAAGTTTGCTTTTACAAGATTAATATCAATTACCCAGAGAACTTTCTTAGTGGTTGCCCCTAAACCACGACAGCCTGCTAGGGGAGATGCACCAGGTATCCCATATTGCTACCTTCAAGAGGAAGTTAAATATGTAGCTCTTCCAACTGACCTTCCCAGAGTAGTACCCACTTTTGTTTTATTTGGGTTTTGTTGTTGTTGTTATTGTTGTTTTTTATCTCTTGTGAACTGCCCAGAGCCTCTGCGAGTGGGGCAGCATATAAAATACGAATAAAGTATTTATGCTTTCAAAAATAACTAAAGAAAATGCTGAGACTGGAAATTTAGTAAACATCTTGGATCTTGGCCAAGTATTTTCTCCATTATGAAATCACAGATATTGCTTGACTACCTATACTTTTAAGTTTTGACCCTTCATTTTTGCCTCCAACTGAAGTGTCAGGTGATGGCAGTTGTAAGTGGGCTAAACACCCTTATCAGCCCACTCTGATACTTGTACTTGCTACGTTAATAATGATCCTGCCCCTTGTTTCTGGTACAGCATCAACCTATTCATCAACCAACCGCTTCTCTTCACATTCATGAAGTTCCTTGATGTGTGTGTGGGGGGTACGTTGCTGTGTTTTTCATGTTTGCACACCCACCCTTATTCAGTTACCTGTTTAAGTCTTTTTTTGTGCTTTCCAGACTTTGCTTCTTAGCCCTCTATTTTTTGCCTTTCCTTTCATTATCATGTCCAAAGTCATTAGCAGCCTCTCCCCATGATTTGAAGAGAAGTATGTGGCCTAAATGCTGATTGTTATTCTGAAAATGTTTCAGTTTTATAGTCTTGATTTTTCAGTTTCAACATTCTTACAAACTGTGGACTTATTTTTCTCTCCAGGGGAAAAGAACAAACTTACGCAAAGCGGGCTCAGACAGGATTTCCCATGGAATGCGAGTGAAATTCAATCCCCTTGCTCTGCTCCTAGATTCCTCTCTTGAGGGAGAATTTGACCTTGTACAGCGAATCATTTATGAGGTATATGTTCTGTGTACACTGTATCAAAGAATAAAGCTTTTGGATGCTTCTTTGAAGCTGCATTGGTTACAGTTATATCTAAGGCTGGCATGTAGAGTTCCACTTCTGAGTACTGTCAGATGATGATATAATACAGGTTCACATATACAATAAACAGGGTGATATAAGAAGGTACTAGGAACAATATAAACATTTACTTAGGATTTTTTGCTTCTTTCTTTTGCTCCATAGGTTGAAGATCCTAGTTTGCCCAATGATGAGGGCATCACTGCGCTGCACAATGCTGTATGTGCTGGTCACACAGAGATTGTGAAATTCCTGGTACAGTTTGGTGTAAATGTAAATGCTGCAGATAGTGATGGATGGTAAGGGATGATCTTTAACTTCTTTGAATTAGCACCGAACAGTTAATGTGCTGCAGGATCCTTCTGATATGCTGGACGTACTGAGAGGGTCATCTGAATTTAAGAAATGATATGAAAAAGAGTAAATAAATGTAACAGTTCCAGTTCCACTGCTGTTTCTCTACCTGACAGGGAAACTCTCTTTATGGACTTGCCACCACTAGAATAGATGGTTTGAACAGCTCTTGAATGAAACTCTGGAGCAGACTTAATTTCTGAAGTGAAACAGAGCCCTTCAGTGAAAGTACTAAAGTGAAATCTGAAGAGCAGCCTGTGTTTAGAGATGGCAAAAGTGGGATTCTTCAGTTGAAATTGGCTACTGTACTGTAATTGCAGGAATAAAATGGGATACCTGTATTGGTCATTTGTAGCAGTTTCTCCTTCAGAAAACCATTGTGGTGAAATACAACTGTTAGCAGTAAAAGGAGTCAATAATTCTTCCTGCCCTCTTCCATAAGCTTTTAATGGGCCATTTTTCACATTTTAGTAGTTTCTTTCCCATGGGTTAGGATATATGTGAAAAGATATATATCGTTTTTGCAATTTGTAGGACACCACTGCATTGTGCAGCATCTTGCAATAATGTCCAAGTCTGCAAATTCCTAGTGGAATCAGGTGCTGCTGTGTTTGCCACAACCTACAGTGACTTGCAGACTGCAGCAGACAAGTGTGAAGAAATGGAAGAAGGCTATACGCAGTGTTCGCAGTTTCTCTATGGTATGTGACAAAAAATGGAATGCTTTGGAATAGTAGTTATGTTGGAAGTGTTTTGATGTGGCCTTTCTCTCAGTGTTAAAAAGCTACAGAGTAAGGATTGTCTCTTTTCAGACTTCAGTAGATGGCAGGTTAAACTATGCCAAATCTTTGAGAACACACTACTATATTTGTGGATAGTAAAACTAATGAAAATTATTTAGCTTTAGTTTTCTCAAAACTTTTCTGTGGACAACAATTGTTAGTTCTTTTCTTTTTTAAGGTTTTCTGCTTCTACCTGGGCCACTTTCTTCTTCTTAGTGATCATTTTCCCCTTTTAATCAGTGACTTCCCCCTGAAATCTTCCTGCTTTAGTCTGCATGTTTTCCCTACCTGGGATAAAGCTAGAATAGTAAGACAACAATTCTCTGACTTGTTGCTTATGAATGCAATGTTTCATCTTGAGTCTTGGTAGGGCAGTTCAGTAGAAGGGTGAGGAATGAAAATGATTGAAGATTTTTACTCTAGACTGAAAAAAGTGTATTATGACAAAGTGGGGAACTTGGAGGGTCATTTTTGTTTTTGTTTTTGTTTTTTGGATTTTCTTGGATTTAAATAAGACTTTGGTCATATATTAATGGAGAGGCACCAAGTATTCAGGTCTACATGTATAAAATACACATTTTCCCACTGTGCTTGGATAGATAACTGTCCATTTTAGAACATTTGCCTTGTCTTATATACTCAGGACTATACAGTGGTATTTATTTATTTATTTATTAAAACATTTTTATGCCGCCCCATTCGCCGAAGCCTTGGGGCGGCTTACAACAATAAATTAAAATTCATGCAGTGTATTGTGTTATCTTTGATAACTGTTATATTCTACTTGTGGTTCTTCCAACTGCTTATCAAAAAGACATGTTTGGCCATTGAAATTGTGGTGCTTCAAGCACCTGTCTGCTTAATCAGTTGAAAAGGTAACTGCACATCTGCTACTTTCCCACTTCAGACTGCAAGCTTTTATAGATTGTTCTTCTGATCAAACGTAAGCCAGCTAAAAATAAAATATTCCAGATTTTTAATAAACCGTTACTAATATTTGTTGTATGTATTGTTGAAGATAGATATTTAATTTTATTTCTTGTTTAGTTTATTGTTTGGTTTTGTTTCAGTGGATGAGATTCACATAGATTGAACAAGTTCCATATCTTCAGCTCTAGTGTCATCTTACAGAGTGCAATTTATGATTGCAATTACTTGCTTTGTAGTGCAGAGATGAATTAAGTGCTCACCTACTCAGAAGGTTGAACTGTAGTATGACCCACTGTTCAGAAAATGTCGTCACTCTTAGTGGTATAAATGACAGCAGTTTCTGCTTTGCGTTAAACCCTGATGTTTAGGCCCAAGCAATGAAGGAGAACCTTGTTGATGTGTGAAGTGTAGTGATGGCCACCAGTTTAGATAATTTGATTAATTTGTGTAGGAGAAGGCAATCAGTGATTCCTAGCCATTGGCTAAATGCTGATTCCAGTATCGGAGTGAGTATGCCTGTATACAGAAGTTGCTGGGAAACATGGGCAGGAGGGTAATTTACACTCACTTCCCACTTGTGGGTTCCCTCAGACAGCTTGGCTGCAGTGTGAAGAGATGCCCTAGACCTGTTCTTGGTCTGATCCAGCAGGGCTTCTCTTGTGTTCTTAAATCTACAAAATGGTTATGAAAATTGAGTAATCTTTCCCATAGTAGATAGGTTTAATTACTGGAACTAAGAAAAATTACTTCTGTCTATTTTGTTCATTGCAACAGATTAGTTACTTGGTTTGGAAAAAATGTTTACTTTGTTAATGGGCAATTCTACAACTGCAGATGGTGTGATAATTGCTGCGGTCTTCAGGCATTATTTTCATTTGCTTTCCAAATAGGAGTGATTTTTGTATGTTCAGTTGCTTACTAGTTTATTCATATCATGTTGATTGCTTTGGCATTCCAGCAACTTGTTCAGTATACTTTTAACATATAATTTGTTTTATACTTTTAACATATTTATAATTCTGGCCTTTCCCATGACTTTTAACTCTGTTTATGCAGTTCATGCGGATTTGTGCTAGCCATCATGACGCATGATATGATTTAGGTGCTTAGTCTTGTCTTCTGTTTTGCAGGAGTACAAGAAAAAATGGGAATAATGAACAAAGGAGTGGTTTATGCTCTCTGGGACTATGAAGCTCAGAATGATGATGAACTGTCCATGAAAGGAGGAGACTGCATGACAGTACTTCACCGGGAAGATGAAGAAGAAATAGAGTGGTGGTGGGCACAGCTAAGTGACAAAGAAGGCTATGTTCCACGCAATTTACTTGGGGTAGGTAGAAAAGGTTAATAACACCCTATTTACATGGCTAACATTGACCCAAGGAAGGGCTGTTTTAAGACTTACTTCATGCCACAAACACTTGTCAGAATGGTGGATTTGTCCAGCAAATCCCATTTTTACTTGTTGAATGAGTGGTTGGGCAAGTATCTGGTCAGTATTTTGCATAAATTCAGTACATTTTATTTTGCATAAATTCAGTACATTTTTAAGGGAGGAAAGGAAGTAGGATACTTAATGAAATGCACAAGCTTTGATCCCCGGTTTTTTTTTTCAAGTCTTCCCCTAGGTACCCTTCTAAAGACAGTAAATGTTTTAGGACCCATTAGGTAAAATCCAGTGTAAATCATAATCCAGTATGAGTCATGAATTAAATGAGACTTACATTGGATTTACCTTGGTATAGTTCAAGGACTGCATAAAAAATAGAGCAGTTAAAATGACTTTGAACTATGACAGTTATATCTTATGTCAGTATGTGTTCCTCTTTCTGGCTTTGCTGTAAATAAGCAAAGTAAATAAGCAATGCAGGGATTAAATGTATCTGAGTTCTCTGTTTCTGTTCTTCATGGCACTGTCCATAGACCCTTTTAGCTATCTTTTCCATTTATATCATACTTGTTCCTGCCATACTACAATAAAATGTAGCAGATGGAATTTGGCATCAGTTTATTTGTAATTCTTCTCTTCCTTAATCTCTTTATACATGTCTACTATCTCTGGTGCAGCAGATAATCCTTCAGTGCTGGCAGAGTTTTAACTAGTCTTGGTTTCAGCTGATTGATATTTGATTCCTGGCATCCTCAAGCAGATAATCCAAATATGAACATTTTCAAAAGCCAGCTTTGAAGATTGGAATCCTAGGCTTTTCAAAATGAGCTTTATAAATTGAATCCCTTCACTTCACCCTTATATATGTCAGAAGTATTGCCTTCTGCTGCTTATCTGTGCTTAAAATACCTCTTTCAGCAATATCTATAGAATCCTTGCAACATCTTTTCCCTTCGCTTTGAGCACTTCCTAAACTAGTGTGAAGAGGACATATCACTGGGATTAGTGCTTTTGTTTTAAATTAATTTTGACATTTTTGTGTTCAGACCCATTGTCCATCCTATGTAACCTCCATCACCCATAGATTATTTACTATTTCCTTTATTCAAGTCCTTCTTTGACTATTCATTGGGATCTGCCATTATTGGGCTTGACTGTGACTATGACATCAGGATTTGGAAATTATTCTGTGGTGCTTACTCTGATGGTGTTTCATCCAAAATTAAGGAAGCAACACAAATGAACACAATGAATGACAGTTTCTGTGGAGGGTTGCTGTGGAAAACTGTTGTTGCATAGAAATATGGCAGCTTTAGGAAGAATAAAATACTCAATGCTAGATGAAAAAGGTAAAGCACATTGCATTTCCCCACAAAACAAGCCTCTTGTCTATTAAAGCACAGCAGTTAGCTGTTAGTATGTGAGTTGAAATGGTTGCCACCATGTCTATGGACACTACATTGTAGACTTCAGATTTATAGCCTGCTGTACAGACTTTACAAACCAATGTACCAAACCATCATTGATCTTCCTGTTGTAGAAACTTTAGCAACAAAAGCGGGGAAAGTACCTTCATATGCATGTACACTGTAGTACTTAAAAGTGCATCAGAAACCATTTCTTCTTGGAAAACTCTATGCACCATTTCTTTTGCCATGAAAACAGCAATATTCTTCTAACTTGTGCATATAATAGCTTTATGTTGCATGCCTTTCTTTACATATCCCAAGAATTTTGTTACTCTTATCCTATCACTATCACTTATCGTATCATTGGGACTGCAGGTGATGCAGTGGTTTAAACTGCTGTGCTGGTTGATCGAAAGGTTGCCGGTTTGAATTTGCACAACGGGGTGAGTTCCCGTTGCTCCGTCCCAGCTCCTGCCAACTTTGCAGTTCGAAAGCATGCAAATGCAAGTAGATAAAAAGGTACCACTTCGGTGGGCAGGTAGCAGCGTTCTGTGTACTTCGGTGTTTAGTCATGCCGGCCACATGACCACGGAGACTGTCTGCAGACAAACGCTGGTTCCCTCAGCTAGGAAACAAAGATGAGCACTGCCCCCTAGAGTCAGGCATGACTGGCCTTAAGGTCAAGGGGAAACCTTTACCTTTACCTTTATCCTATCACTAACAAGCTTTGGCTTCTGTATGAAAGTCAAAATTAAGAGATTAACCTAGTCGGCTCTTTGAATGTTGCTCTTACTGCTTCTACTTGCTGTTGAGAATTCATAGTGCACGGGTCCTCAAACTACAGCCCCCAACATGGATCCGGCCTGCACCGCTGTTCGCTGCCCGCGCGCACGGGGAGGTGGTGGCTCGCTTGCTCAGAGATGGTCTCTGAGCAAGCAAGCTGCCCCTGCCGCCTTTCTCCCATACGTGTGCACTCACCGCTGCCTCGCAGCGTGAGGGTGGGGGGAGGCGGTGGCTTGCTTGCTCGGAGATGATTTTGGACTCGCTGGGAAATCTCCAAGTGAGCAAGCCATCGCCCCGTGCGCCTGATGCCTCCTCACATGTGCCCGACGGCACCTCACCAGCCCGCGACGGTCACCACAGCCTTTCAACTGGCCCCCTATTCAAAAAGTTTGAGGACCCCTGTCATAGTGGAACAACCGGTAGCTGTTTATAGATAGCCTTGTGTGACTGAGACATTTAGGCCAGAGGGAAAGAGCAGTTTTTATTGTAACCCTGTAGATTTTCTCATAACTTGTTTCCTTTTTGATATGGACATGCATTTCACAAATCTGAGTTATTTTATTTTTATTATTTATTTTATTAAAACATTTCTATGCCGCCCCTTGCCGAAGCCTCGGGGCGGCTCACAACAAGAAGCGTGGATAGATTTTCATAACTCTCATTTGTCAGTGGCAAAATTCTGACTGCTAGCAAGGATCTATGCTTTTCCCATAGAAAATAGTCACCCTACAAATGAAGGGTTAGGAAATACTAGAATAAGCAGCAGTTTGAAATTCTTTGGTTCAATTTTGTTAGACTAATATATTCAAAACATGTTGGTAAGTATTCATTGAAGTATAATTGCACTTAGTTGGCAGTATCTGTTGCTTTTATCCTCTGCTTTCTGCACAATGCATGTCACAGGAGATAACTTTTGTTGCCCCGACCTTTTCCTTCATGGAGAATTTAGGGTGAGGAAAGATTATGTAGCTTTTCCTTTCTCCTCTTTGTTTCTTCAGAAGGCATCAGTTTGCACTTTCTGTAGAATCCAAACCCAACAAAAAACATACATTCATTTCCCAAATTCCCTGAATATTTTTGAAATGGTTTAGGTCTCCTCACAGGTTTCTCGTGTGATCCATTAAAGTTCAAATGTTTTATAAAGCAATACAGCATCAAGACAGTGTCGGGGAATCTTTGCTCTGTGCCAGGCATTCACCCTCTTCATCTGGATTTGGGTCTGAAAGACTGGGAAATGTGTGGCTGCATAGAGGGTAAACTGTAAGCAAGCACAGTTGGTGATACTTTACTGTATCATTGCTGATCATGGGGCACACCTGTGAAGGCATCAGCCTTAAGTTTCCAGTTCTCTGGCTTTATGGAAATTGAGCCAACATGAGGTAGCCTTAACTGGCATGTACTTTGCTCGTAATTCAATATGCAGTTGTTTCAGTTGAATATAATTAGGCTTGGTTAGAGGCAGTTTCTTGCCTTTTGGATGGGTGTTGTACATTACAACAGGGGCCAGTGCACCTTGGAAATATTGTTCACTATTAATAGTAAACTATGAGTAATTGAGAACATGACTTAACATATTTTCTCCTGTGATTTTCTGTTTAAAAATTACTGAATACATTTTGATTGTTGTATCGCACGGCCACACCTGTCTGGTTGATTATTGTTCCTTTCTGAATCTACCTGAACACTTAGTGCTGCTTCGATAAGTTGACATCTTTTAAAGCATTGCTTCTGGCATGTATACCTGCTCATTGTTGCTACAATTGATATAGCTCTATACAGTGCTAGTTTCTTGGAGTCTAGCAGCAATTTTTAAATGAATTACTAAGTTAGTGTTTTAGGCTTAATGGAGATTGCCATAGTTTGCATTCTTCTAAAGACGAATTGCATAATAAAGTAGTATGCACTACAAAAGGAACTATTCCTTTTATATCTGTTCTTAAAACAGATTTTATACTTCCTGCTTATTTTAAGATCTCTCTCTTTCCAGCTTTACCCAAGAATTAAGCCGAGACAAAGAAGCCTAGCATGAAAACATTTGGAAACAATCTTCTGAAGTACAAGCCAGAATGATTCTGTCTTTTTTCTAGAAAACAATGTGTTCTTTTAGTATTGAAGCCAGTTTCATTAAACGTAGTTCTATGAAATTGTGATATGAAAGCAACACTATGCTGTGAAACAGATGAAGGATAGACTGCATTCACAAATGGTGGAAGATACTCTTCAATCTGGGATGCTACTTTCAAGCAAATGGAGTTGGCTTCATCCAGGCCAGCTATGCCTCATCGGCAATCACTGCCTGCTCTGCTTCTACAAATGGCTTTCCCTGTGCTCCCTTTGTCATGTACCATCAAGAGAGAATCCGATCATTAGTCAGTCGCTGTTCTTAAGCTCCTGCATTCCCTCCTTTAGAAACTAGGCCAATTATAAATCAGCAATGCTATTTATATAAAAACTATTAATGAACATTCTGCGTATGAAATATGTCTTAGTAGCAGAGCTAACAGTATGAATGCATCTTAACATAAAGAACCTAAACCAGTTCTTTGAGCAATAACTTAAAGTGCAGTAGCATTTTAAAGTTCCAAAGTATTTGAAATATATGCTATATCACAGATAATGTAGTTTGTAGTGTTTTTTTAATGTCTGTCTTTTGTAACTTGGATAGTAAATGTAGAAATGTGTGTAGCCCCTCCCCCATATCTCACAAAGTTTGTTATAACTTTTTATTCATAACTGTGATTAAATTTTTTTCTTCAGAAATACCAATTTCTCTGGTGTCAAGTTTTAATATTCAGCTACACGATGCTTTTGTCATTGAGCTCACCTCCTGTGCTGACATGAGCATATTACAGGCTACAACTTACGACATTGTATTTTGTCAGCATTCTGTGCTTATTAGGTTTGGAAGATGTTGTCTCTGACTTGTAATTTCTATAAATTGCACTGTAGCTGATATCCAAGCCCTCCTTAGTTGATCTCAAATTAATCAATTTGTATTGCTGGGCTTGTGGGCAAAGGGGGTGGGGAAGACACTTGAAAAAAGAAACCCAGTGTAACAATATGGCTTGCTTGTATCTAATATTAGCAATAGCTTGCCTGGTTCCATTATGATGGATCTGCCAAGCTTCAGCTCCCTGTCACTGTGAGGTACAGTACTGAATACCTAAAGACAGCTTCTCCCCTAGGGTGTTAAGAGAGACAGAGATACATGCTGACCATGACTCCTTGCTCCTGTTTGGTAAAACTGTATTGTTTCTTGGTATTTAAAAGTGCTCCTTGTAAATCGGTCTACCACTAAAAGGGGCACAGGCATCTGAAGATTTTGACTACCCTGAAACTTGCTTTCCTGCTTCTTTTGTTCAAGTCCCAGTGTGCCTGCCGATTTATGTGAGGACTGTTCTTTGTGCACCCTGTACTTGTTAATTTCTTGTCAGATGCTTTCATATTAAAACGCTTTAAAATTATTTGACTTTTCAGGGGACTGAAAGATCAATCATATTCTTGTGCATGCTTTTAAAATCGATTGATTGTACTGTGTTACACATTTTGTTAACAAAACAACCCACTTGGTTCTCCACCTTTCTCTGTAAACTCTGATGTTTGAAATGGCTTTTGCAGTGTGTTACGTGTTATTCCCGAAAGCATTTTTAGACTAGGAACATTACCAGTTCCTCGCCTCCCCAAAAAAGTGAACTAGAATTTTCTGAAATGACACGACTTGAGAGGCAACATATGACAACAGTAGATAGTTTGGCACTGCTTAATCCCAAGGAATTTATTCCATGCTCGGCAGTTAAAAATGTTACTAACCTGTAAGTAAGTTTCAGTAAGGAGTTTTTAAAATCTCCTTTATTAGGAAGTGCAAAATAAGTCATTCATGAAAAGGGGTATTGTAATGTCAATGCTGTCTTCTGTTAGTGACTATTGACACTTATGATGCCCTGCTGTCTGTTTATCCAATAGGTTTGACAGCAATTTTGTTGCATAATGACCAAGTGTAACCTTCTTCATTTTTGAGTTTTGCAATATTCATTGAACAGGCAATATTGCTTGTTTTGCTTAATTTAAGAGCTGATGTTCTACCTTTTATTTAAGAAGGTGATCAAGGCTTAAAAATCAGTCGAATATTTAAAATTGAAGGATGGAGTGGTATGGGCACATTAAGTAGTTACCATTCTACATTTGACTGGTGAAGATAATACAGTTCATCAGTTACTGGCATCAATTCCAGTTGGCTAACTTGAGTTTTTAATCATGACAGCTTGAAGTTTTAAGAAGTACATTGTGTAACTTGCTTTATTGTGCCTAATATTAGGATGTATCTTCAGACATTTAGAGTCCATAATGCCAAATCCTGAAAGGTTAAATGAAATACATTGCACTTGGCTTTTATAAAAGTGATAGCTATTTTTCACTTTCTTGGAAGACCTTATGTTGAGATTTAAACTTTAGGGCACAATCCTAGGGTTTCCCAATATGGTTTGGGGGATGATAGGATTTTTTTTGGAATCTGAGGAACCCTCTGATAGAGTTTGAATCCCAAAGGCCAAGCCCCAGCCCTGGACCCTTGCAGCTGACATAGGAAAAACTGCACTGGGGCCCCCTCCCCCAGACGGGAGCTGGGCCTGTGTCAGGAAAAAAAGGAATATGCTGGGGAGGGAAAGGGAGGAGGCCGGGTCTGTGGAATTAAGGAGATTCCAAATAGACTCCAGCCTCCTTCCTCCCCCCTCAGCAGAGCTAAATCCAGATGGCTGAAAACAACCACCTAACTAAAATGCAGGGTTTAAGTTGTGGCAGCAGGGTGATGACTACTGCTATGGCTTGCACCTTGACCTCTGAGTTCAGAGCCTTATGAGCATCTGACATGAGGATGATAGGAGCATGGCCTTAAATTGTTATGGCATACATGGAAATAGCTTAAGCAAACAGTTATATAAAATCTTGAGCTTGTATATTGAAGCTATTAAGGTATCCACTTCCAGTGTGCATTCACTTTGCTGTCCAGTATTCTTCCTCTCCTTCAGCAGCTTCATACATATAAAATACACATCAGTGTTGAAATATAACAGATTTTTTCATATTCCACATTTTTTCATGTTTCATATTTGTCTTTAAACTGATGCTCATGTCCCAGGAGGAGTCTGAGGTTCATTGCTTCTTCATATGACAGTAAAACACACCCACTATGAGACAGAAGGAAAAACATGAGATAAGCAACTTGACTATACTTGTTACAGTTCAGATACATTTAGCTGAAGTATATAGCCACTTCCTGAAAGGAAATGAATGTATCCACAAAAAAGCACTTAGGGCAAAAAAAGGGAAGTTATACTTTATACATGAAGGTTGTGATCAGTCTTTGGGGTTTTTTTAGCCTTTTCAGAGAAAAGTGCTACAAAGGATAAAATTAGCCAATGTTATGCTGGATGGATAAATATTATATCTTTAACCTTCATAAACCCTGCTGTCATTTGTGTTGAAGTAATGAGAATCACTAACATAACTGGGTTTTCACTATATAACAATCCACCATAGAAGCCAGCTATGATGAGTTGTCATGTCATCTGAACCCAGCATGTTCTCCACAGGTTGGCTTAATGCTCATGAACAAGCCATCATGAGAACCTGCAGTCCATTGTGCCCATGGTGGATTGTTTCCATTGTAGGTTGTCAGGATTGGCTGCACAGCAGCAAAAAAAAAATCATGCTACCTCCAACATCAGAGACTCTCTGTTCCCCAATGTCCAAATGGCAGCTTGGAGATACAATCACTCATTTGTCACGTTTTCTTTTTTTGGTGTCGCGGGTGGCAAATGTGTTCATAATTTCCCCCTTGTTTCACAAGCATTGCAAGAGCATACTTCCATTTATCCGATATGTATAGTATTTTCTGGTCAATTTTCTTGTATGCTTCAGCTGTCAAAAGGGAGTATCAGTGTATGCAACATACAAGGAAATTGAGAATACAAGGCTTGTTGCACACAGTTGTGAAGAACTAGGGGAGAAATAATAGCAAGAGAATGGAAGGACCTAGCACCCCGATTCAGAAACTGGAGAAAACAGATGAATGGAGTAAGTGAACCAAAGTGTTGGAGCAATGATAATCTCTCACTTGGCAATGTAATCCTCTTGATTTTAACTGTTGAACGAACACTTCTCAGTGTATCATGTAGTCTGAACTCAGTTACAGCAACCGCAACAAGTTTGTGTAATCACAGTAGAGGAGTATAACTGGGTGTTTGGGTTCACAAGGTACTTTGATGCGAATGGAATCACAGGCAAGACAGAATGCCAGCATGTGTTACATCTCGTACTGTTACTGCCTGTGTAAACCTACTGAAGTCCTGCAATGTTTCTGTCTTGGGTGCATCTGCAAGCAAGGCATCTGAGAGATGGAGAGCCAGTCCGCACGTTTCTGGTTCAAAGGATGCAGGGGCATGGGTAGCTCATGTATTTCTAATCAGTTCAACAGTCATGCATGCCTCAGATATTTGCCACAAAGTATAGGGGCATAAAATCAGTCTATGTATCTAGGTTGTCAGCTAAGCACAAATGCAAACGTTCGGAGCTCTTCAACCAAAGTGGTTTTAGGCTGTGTCAAAGCTTGTGCCAAATTTTGACAGGTTTGTTAACTTACACTGCTGAGATTCAGCTGTATTGTTCCCGTTTTCTCGGTATCCAGCTTCTTAAATATCTCTGTTGGGTGGGGAAGAAATGAATAAAGATGCTGAAGCTTCCCGGAAGAAGTAAAGCAACAATAAAAAGTTTCATCATAAGAAACAAAACATAGTTTATTAAAAGCAACAACACTGAATACAATTATGCAGCAAGACATAGCAATAAGCGGGAGAGGCTTTACTCTTCAGACTCCAGTTATGTCTTGGCACTTAAACTTAGAAAAAAACATACTATCCTATACATGGCAATTAGGAGCTGCTGGGCAGGGGGGGGGGGTTGGAAGTCTAATTGCCATGAAAGTGAGGGCAAAGGTTGGAACCAAATGCACTCCAGCCTTTGTGTGACACCGTGTGACTCTGGTCACATCCGGTGTGCAGGTTGGCACTTCGAGACACTCGGTGTTTATGGTTTACAGTTTATACTTACAGCCCAAACACTGTAGCTTTTTGTGTTGTTGTTTAAAAAGCAGCTTACAAAAGTCACATACAGACAGATTTTAAGTAAAGGATTTGAGAGCTTTGTTTCTATTCCATTCATGCGAGGAATGCTGTGCTTTTGACTCTGCACGACAGCATCCAAGGGGAATTCTTCACTCTAGATAGCAGATGATTTGGGCCAGCTGGGAGAAGCATTTGCATTCTGCTGTAACAAAACTTAAGGGATCTTCTTTTGGGGTGGCTGAATTATGTCTGACGTACCCATTGTAGTGCATTGGTTCTAGAGGCACAGCAAAGAGGTATTTGCCATACAACCCGAATGTGTGTTGTAGCAGCAATTCTGCCATGATAACATATTTGAATTGGACACTCAATATGCATCGTCTTAAGGGACTATAATTCGACTCATGAAAGTGTGCAAGCTTGCACTAGGTTGTGAAAAAAATCAGGGCTGTTGGAATTGATTGCACTTTGCTGGTCCCCTATGTAATGCTGCACAATATCCATTCTGCCCACATTTAGGGCTGCTTTGGTTTGCACACACTGCATACAGTATACCAACAATCCAAAGTTGCTATTAAAGATTCCTAAAGTGGCTAATGTTTATTACCTCACAGCAAACCCCAAAAGGTACCTGTGTTGAACATAAGAAAAATTCCGAAATCTGTGCCACTGTAATGCTTTTATTACAAAAAGATGACAAAAAATTATGTAAACTTCAAAATCCCCAGATCCTGTCTTCAGGCAAGATACTATAAAAGTAGGTACATGTATGAGAAAGGGAAACTAATTACTAGATGGTGAAGTCACATTGGAGGTCTGAGGCTAACCCCAAGTCTACAGGTCATACGGTGGTTACAAGGTTATGCTGTCCCTGATACTAGATCCTCTCTTTTGGGATATAAACTCAGCTATTCTCAGAAGGTTTTTCCATTCTGAATAAAGCACACAGGCTAATTCTTCTAGTAGATCACTGAGAGAAATTGCCAGTAATTATTATAGTAAATATTGCTACCTTTGCTGCTTTTTTTTAAAAAAAATAAGACTTGGAGAATACCGTATTTAGCTTTTCTTTACAGGGCTCATTAACAGAAGAGGAGGCATTTATACCACCAGAACCTGGGACTTTGTGGATTCATTCCCCTACATCTACTAGGTAATCCTACCCATTTTGAATTCAGTTGCCTTTTATTACCTAGATCAGCATTTAAAATGATATCCTCTTCATTAATATAAAAACTACTTAATTTCCATATCCACCAGCAAAAGGATTTTTAAAAATATGTTGTGTGGATTGCATTGAAAGCTAGGAAATATGCAGACTTTAGACCACAGTTTTGTTCTGGGAAATGCACATTTGATAAAAGTCTGGTCAAAAACAACTGAATTTTTCACCTAGCCCTTCCTACTCTGGAGTAAACATGGCTGGGTATAGTGCTGACCTCTGAACAGACATCCATAGTATTGTGTCTCTTCCTACTATAAACAGTGACAATGGAATTGTTTTAGAAATGGGTGTGGCTTTGATGGGGGTGTGGCTTAGAGGTATGGCTCTGACTATCTAAATTTGCCATTCACCACTGCGCTTTCCACCATACCTGCACTTCTTCACTGGACGGGGTTCGGGTTAGTTAGTCAGCCCTGCCATGTGCCCCAGGAATGCTAGGGAGGGGCAGGTTCTCTGCGGTCCCTTGGTCTCTTGAGCAGCGACAGAGGACAGAGTCTGCTTCCTTTCGGCAATTCAGTTCCACCAGCCACTGGGGACAGAGTGACTGTTCTGCAATAGCCAGATGTGTCAGGGTGAAATTCTGTATGGAAGACTATCATGGGGCTTCTTTATGGGAATGCAGTCACAACAATGTGGGTACTCTTTAGGTCTCATCATTAGTACATGAGCTGATGGTTTGAGTTAGCCTGGTGATCTTGCCTATTAGGATTGCTCTTATACATGTATAATAGAATGGTGTTTTTTTACTCAATTCAGGGTTCATGTTCAAAAGAATTTACAGGCTCTGTGCCGATGGGCAGGCAGCTTATAGATTGGGGATGTTATAATATACTGCATTATATTACAAGGGAGCCTATGTATAGCACAGCCCGTCCTAGACTCTGAGAACAGCATAAAATAACAAGCCCAGTGAAAACCTTACTTTAGAATGGAGATCTTAACGGAAGCCAATCCTGAAGAGATACTCACTGAACAATGTTTCCAGTCGAATCAAGCACCTAACAAAATTGTCAAAATCTATGATCAGCTGCTCATCAGCAAAACGGGCCACAATGACTTGGTGCAGCTGACAATCCAGCTTAAAGCCTAGAACACACAAGCAAAGAGAAACTACTTGGCACAGGTAATTCTTGGAGGAGACAACTCAACATGGAAACAGCAAGAGGGGAAGTCACTGATTTGTAAGAACAGGAGAGAAGATAAATTCAGATGCCTCAAAAAAAGTCTTATTGGCCAATGTGTTTTGGAAATATATTTCCTCTTCAATAGAGGCAGGGCTGGGCAAAAAACCAGAACGTATTTCTATATATTTTGATACATTGAATAAAAAAGAAAAAGACTTACAAAACCTGGAACGAGGATAACTTTTCCTTCTGGTGGAGTCCTTCTTTATGTGGGTTCCCCATGGAAATAATCTCAGAGAAGCTGCCACTTACTGTCACACCCTCATCTGTCCTGTTGATTTAGTTTCACACCCTTATTGGCAATGCCCCCTCCCTTCAGCCCAGGCCTAGGAAAAAAAGTGGGGGGAGAAGAGAAAGGGATACCATGGGCTGTCTTCCTTAAAGCTTAGAAACGGAGAGCTTACCAACCCTTTAAGAAAACTTAGAATTCAAGGTGCAGCTGTAAAATCAAGTAAATCTTTCACATGGGGAAGAGTTCAGTGTGCAATTTCTATCAAAACAACATGGCCAAAAGGCCAAATATAACAAGTTTATTTTGGGAAAAAAGGGGGGACAAGGAAGGCAATAATTATATATACACACAGAATTCCAAGGATTGTCTAACTTACCTAGTTGTATTAGCTACATGAACAGAACCTTGGGTACCAAAGCCTATGTTGAATTTACTGCAGAGCAGACGATCTGAGAGGGATGGAGCATCTGGCGACAGTTAGAGGAGGTACAGGAAAGCTCAAGCAGCATCGCGATCCTTTTTCAGGGGGGATCTCTGCCCAGTAAAAAGCTTCCCTGAGCAGAGACTGATGGTTGGTCTGTCCAGTGATGCAGTAGCCTCCATTTCTGTTGTTAGTGGTGTGGCTTGCAAATAAAAAAGTGGCTGGATCTACCGTCCTAATGACTGTAATTTTCAAATTAAAATAGCCCAAGACTGTGGACTAAGTTTTTGATTGCATTTTGAAGGCCATAGAAGGAAGATAAGACAGACAAAACTACTCAAGGTGCCCAACAAGGTGCCAACTGGCCAGATGCTTTAGGAGGCACTGTGGCGCTATATCAGTAGTTAGGGGCCAGAGAGATCAAAGAAATAAAAACTTTGATGTGGTCTTTTTACTGGCTATGTTTTGTTTTTATCATCATTTATCAGATGCAGTGTGTTGTTGTGGTGGTTGCTTTGGTTTTTTGTTTTGTTTTTTGTAAGCTGTCCGGAGGCTTTTAGTATTGGGACGACATGTAAAAACGTTAGATAAAAATACATAAATAAATCTGCTGGGCTCACTTGCATTCTTTGCAGTATGGGGCATTTTCAAAAAGAAGGCTCAGAAGTGCAAAACAATCTGTTCTGCACGCCTTGATCTCTCGCCAGTTCAATCTCTTGTTGTCAGTGGAGGACAGAAGACGGGGCTGGTGCCAAGGGTTGGCATGGCGGGGCACTGCTCAAGGGCTGAAGCTCCAGTGGGGCCGCCCTCTTCTGCCACAGCAGCCTGCTTCCTCACCCGCCTCTCAGTCTTGCCCAGAAATCAGTGGAGGTGAGAAAGAGGAGCCACGGCATTCTGGCTCTCTGCCTGTCAAGAAGGGACAGAGGAAAGGGAGCAGCGGCAATCCTGGCAGTGGGAGGGTAGACTCATGGAGACAGCCGTTCCAGGACTCCCCAAAACCAGGAGCTAGCATTGCACAAATGCATACAACAAACCTAAAGAGGACTCCCCAGAGTTGGAATGCGCTCCCCGGAGAGCTTCACCTGGTGCCGAGCTTATATTCTTTTCAGCGCCAGGTCAAAACCTTTTTATTTAACTGTCATTTTAAAAATTAGTATTTTAATGCAACAGACGTGTTTTATTGGCTATATGTTATTTATTGTTTAGATTGTTTTAATGTATTTGCTTTTACTGATGGTGAACCATCCCAAGATGCCATGCATAAGGGACGGCATAAAAAAGTTTTAAATAAATAAACTTCAGTTTGATTGTTTTTCATCCTTATGATGAACTCCTCCCGTTCCTCTAGCAGTGAGTTATCTGAACCATTTGGATGGAAATGCTTTGAAGATGCTTATGAGCGCATCCTTCCCTTCTCAGTGGCTCTGCCTGTAAAACTGTGCTCGCATTTTAATGGCCTTGATAATCAGAGACATCTTTCACTTAGGAGAAAAGCAAGCAATATACACAAGGAACTAAGCAAATCAATTTAATTGAACGCCGTCTGCATTCTCAAAATAGACTCATTTTTCAACCATCGTGAATAACAGGTATAATTGGGTATCTATTTATACTTAATTTTGGCAGCAACACTAAAAAAGACAACAAGCAGGCTGCGGACAAGGTGAGTGGAATAGATAGTTTTTGAGGATTTCCTAAAACTTGCATTGCTCTGAGCAATCACCTGTGGGAGAATTAACTGAGTCCTCGAAGCTGTGTGCACATAGTAGATGGATCATGGTTTTAGCCTGTACCTATGCACATTTACCTGGGAGCAAGTTACATTAAAAACAGTAAGACTTCTGTGTGTGTATGTATATGATTGCACTGTTGATTTGTAAGCCCCTTGGGACAGGGATTTGTATATGTGATTCTGTAAATTTCCATGCATGGTGATGACGCCAAATAGATAAAAGATTAGGGGTGCAATCCCATGCTTATTTAGAAAGAAAACAGTCCTACAATTCCCAGCATTCTCCAGTTAGTAATGCTGGGATGCAGAGGACTTTGTTCTGGCTAAACTTGTCCCCTAAGTCCTCTAACTTAAGTCCTCTAAAAGTCTCCTTAACTCTGCATTGTGGATTTATTTTTTGCTTGGCCACCTTTCAGGGCAGGAACCATCCCAAGGAGATGAAGAACCATAAAACACATAATTGTATCATATGTGAATATATAATTTTTTCTTCATAACTTTAGGGTACAGTCACAGGGTACAAAGAAGTCACACAGTCTTGCCTTCTGCATAAATTGTCTATATCATGAGTAAAAACAGTTCAGATGACTGGCCTTATTATTAACTTATTAGGACATGGATGGCTCCTACTTTAATGAACCAAAACACCTTAATGGAAACACGTTGGAGCGTTCAAAAATTCACAGAACCCACATGAATAACCTAAGGACATGAATCATGCCCAAACTACTGCCCCTTTCTGATTTTGAGTAAGATGCTCTGGATGGGTTTGCACTTTCTCTGAAGGACCACGTTCATCTCTTGGTTTCAGTTTTGACACGAGAAACCTAGGTGACTAAGAGCATCTTTTACTAGTTTTGGCTGGTACACCAGCTGGGGCCGTTTCTGAATAAGGAGCACTTAGCCGCATTGGTCCATGCATTGTAACCTCAGCAGTGGATTACTATAACATGCTCTGTTATAGTAGAGGCTTTGAGGCTGGTCCGGAAGCTGCAGTTGGTGCTAAATGCAGTGACCCAGTCACGATGTGGACCAAGTCATTACAGCATCGAACAAGAGCCGGACTGTATGCCCATATACTGCTGGGTCAAGTTGAAGGTGCCGGCACTAGTGTACACGGGTGTAAGTAAATTGGGACCAGGCTATGTGAGACGCTGCCTTCTCCCTTGCAGTCCTTCCCTGCTGCCTTCCACACTTAGGGGAAGCTCTGCAGGTGCTCTGGAGTCATCTGGTGGCCATGCAGGCGGAGTATTGTGGGTAGTTTACTGGGTCCTCTGGAACACGCTGGCCCTGGCGATAGGCCATGAGCCACTAATGATGGTGCAGTCCGTGATCATACTAAAAACATTCTTTTCCAACCAAGTGCTCCCCATGTAATGCTTCAATACCGAATGTGCTATTGGTTCTGCTTCCAAATACGAGTGTTTGTTGAAACTAATACTGAGTTATTATGAAACTGTATTTTCTATTTGAAGTTGTGCTGTTGTATTGTACACCACTATGGTAAATTCCTTGTTTTAAGGAAAGCATACATTAATTCATTAAAAAGATAAAGGTGATGGTACAAAATATACCTGCTTGTTCTAAGGCCTTCCGCATCTCATAAGAGTTCATGGTTCCAGAGTTATCAACATCCATGTCCCGGTAAATTTTCTGCACAACACAAAACATGAGTCAAAGTTTGCCAGCAGCTCAGAGCAGAAAAATGATTCTAGCAAAGCCTACACTGTACTTTACTGGGTGTAAGAAAAAGCCATAAAATACAGAGAGCTTGCTTGATTACCCTGTTAGCCTTAGTTTTCCCTGCATGAATTTGAGGAGCAATTTTTTTTTTGAAAAATTATTCTAGGGCCCCATAAGCCTGACCCTGTAATGCTGGTCTAATTGAGCACTGATATTGGTTGCATTGCTCTAATAGGGTTTACCACTGGGCTCCCACTAATTGCTGTGCATGCGCAGAGCAATGATATGGGCAGGGTGCTCTAGTGGTTAGAGTGTTGGAGTGGGACTTAGGACATGGGCTCTAGTCCCCACTCAACCATGAAGTTCACTGGGTCCCTTTGGGACAGTCACTGACTCTCAGCCTGACCTAACTCTCTGGGTTGTCGTGTGGATAAAACAGGGGGGGGGGGGGAGGAGGAGGAGGATTATGTTTGCTGTTGTGGGTTCCTTACAGAAAAAGGAGGAATATAAATATAATATATTAAATAGGTAACCTCTGGCTGGATACTGATTCCATGATAGTTCCAGGGAGCTACATTGTATGCACAGTCTTAGGGACCAAAGAAAATTTTAGAAGCCAACTCTCCCATTTGACTTCTTTTAAAGATGTGTTCTTACCTGGTACTTCTGAATCTTTGTCCAAAGTGTGTGGAACTCCTTCAGCCCCAGTTTACCACTTCCATCCGTCTGTTTCAGTTAAGGATCCTCAGATTTCAAACAGCAAAACTTAAATTTTGGGGGAGTGACTGTTTGCTTTGTGTGCCTCCATAGTGGCCTATGTGTCCGGCTGATATTACTTTGCATATTGGTACAGTGCCCTCAATATATACGATGCATCATGTTCTCCAGACGTTTTCAGCTGCAATTCTCAACATCCAACCCATGCTGGCTGGACTTGAGGGGTGTGGAAATCCAGGACATCTGGAGAGCTGCAGTTGTGGGAGCCTGTTTTATAAAATTTCACAAGCAAAACAATCTTTCTTCCACAAGAGTCTACAGTCTAGCCCAGCCTTACAGCTGAGGATGCTGGAATAGCACAACTGAAGGTCACAGGGGGATGTAATGCCAGACAGGCAGAGTGGAACAAGGCCATAAAAAGCTCTGTGGCCATGCTTGATGCTTCAGGATTGTGTAACTGATGGGGTACAGTGGATGCACAGCATGGTTGCCCAGGTTGGTCTATGCTGATTTATGATAGCTCTCCAAGCTTTCTCTCGCTCTTCCCAGGCCTGCTTTCCCAAATCCTTTTATGTTGAGGCCACATAGACATCCTTGAGACTTCTACATGACAAGCATGTCTCCCTCCACTGAGTGACAGTACCTGCTCATATTGGATACTCCCCAAAGTAAAGGCAGTGCCAAGCAAACCTGATTTCCTGTATGGAGTTCTCCATTCCACTCCCTGAGCCCCAGATGGATGGATGGATGGAAGGCTGCATCCGATGCTTTGACAAGCATCTCGAAGCAGTAAGAAGCGTTTCTGCTGCCAGAATGTCAACAAAGCATGCCACCCTTTTCAAATTCACCTTTTCAGTATTCTGAACCCCTCTCCTTCTAGTTCGCTCTGACTGAGTCAACCGGCAAGCACAACTTGGTTGCCCTTGACCCCTTTTAAAGTGTTGGCCTCACAGCCACCATGGTAACCTCGTAACATGTTGGCTGGGCAGTCGATCCAAATATTCTGAAGGATACATCTAAGAGGTCCACCATGATTTTACATGTTTCGATGCTGAAGCCATCTGATTTAATTTCTTGGCCTGCAAACAAAAATAGCACATTTGTTAACTAGGACATATTGCCCACTTCATTTCCCTGCTTCCATAATTATTGTCCCATCATCATCATCATCATCATCATCATCATCATCTATTTCAACAGAGGAAATCCTGGAAAGCAGCAAATGCAATGGCACTGTGTGGATGTTCAAGGTGATTCCAGATGGGGAGATTCTAGTGCTGGCAATCAAAAGGCTACAACCAGTTAGTCTACACCTTCATTAACAGACTCTTTTTCCTAATAAAAAGAAAAAAAATGGAAGAGGTTGTAGGGAAGGGCGATAAGCTAAAGATTATTATGTCTGTCCCCGCCTCCATAAAACTCTGCCAGTGAGGCAGTGGTCAGTAGTAGTTGGAGAGCCAGTGTGGAGTAGTGGTCAGAGCATTGGACTGGGACTCAGGACAACTTTGGGCCAGCCTAAGCTGCATCACAGGATAGTTGTGAAGAAAAAAATGGAGAAGGGGAGAATCTTGTAAATCAGTTTGGATTTTTTTGCAAGAAAAAAGTATTTAAGTAAGTAGTACTGTCTTAAATACTACTGTCACTCCATCTTAACTGCTTCCGTGCCACTCACTAGCACACCAGAAACTGGTCCTTTTAAAAGGCACCACCAAAATGGGCAGAAATTCTCATTTCCAGGTCTCCTGAGCGACTCTCCCTTCTGCAAGCTCTGCTGACCTGCCCCATTCTGGAAATGACAGTTTCCACTAGCTTTCTTACTGTTTTGGGAATCTGTAGTTTCCCATCATGCCAGCAGTAGGTCCCGGTAGCTTAGGGTTGTGGTAGTGGCAGTGAGAGCAGTATAACACACTGTTCAGTGTGGTTGTGCAAGAGCAAACCTTGTTTGGAAGCACCCTCTGAAAGGCGTAAGCACACCCCAGATGATCGCTCCAGACTAAACCAGTGACTGCATTCCAAAGAAGCCCTCTGCGAAACTCTGTCTACATATTGCTGCAAGGCCAGGAAAACATCAAACATCTCATAGCCTTGGCGATGCTGACTCTGGAATAGATACCAGAGAGCTTCCAGGATGTTTACTTTGCAAAGGCTGAGCTCAATTACAGATACAAAAAGAAATGCCAATCAATAACCCACCAGCAGCCAGACAGGGGGAGTCAATCTTGTCTAGCAAAGTGGTGCCAGCCTTCCTGTACATTTATCTCCTTGGATTAGATGTCTAGTAGCTAATGCTAATGACCCCCAGCAAGAATACGAGAGCTAACTCAAGGCAGTGACACGATGGAAAGGAAAAAAGCCGCAATCATAAAACTCAAACCAGTCCCCAACTCACTATGTCCCATCTATCACACTCATCCAGACTGATTAAAATAGTCCAGTTTTACAGAGCACCAGAGGGGAAAAGCAGGTCCTTTGTGAGTAGATGACGCTGGACCCATAAAGCAATTACACATGGGCTTCCAAGAAAATGTACAAGTCACAGGTGGGCATCTTGAGGGTGTTTAGGGGCCATGTCTGTCCTCCAGACCCCCTTGAAGGTCGCACAGCAGCTGCTGCTACAGTGTAGTACTGGCAGTAAAAATATCAGCTGCAACAAAATGCAACAACAGTATTATTTAGCACGACACAAACAAGCTACCCTGCGTTGATTTGGCGTTCTTTAGAGGCGTCCCACCAACATGTTTTGGCAAATTGCAGTGGGCTTTCTGGCGAGGTTCATGAATTTTCACAGAACAGCAAGGTGCTGTGGGGCTGACCTGTAGGGCAGCAGGGACAGCACCTGACTCACAGGTCACCCACCTGGCAGATCTGTGGGAGTGCTCAGTGTTGGTCCACAAGGGCTACATGAAGAACTATGGGGCTAGAGGAGCGTGGGCTGTGAGCTCAGCATGGATGGCTTTCTGTGCCTTCCCCACACACAATCCAGCACCTACCAGGAGCGTGGGAAGCTGCATTGCTGAGCCCAGCCAGTGTCAAGCCCTCTTGTCAAAGTGTTGCCACGTGTGGGGCTGAAAGTGTGCAAATGGGGCCTGTGATACCTGCAGAGTCTGCTGACTCACTTCTGATTTCATGGGCACCTGTGATAGTCCCCATGAACTGTGGATGTTCATGACCAGCTTAAAACCATCTTAACAGGCTGGTGCAAAAGGAGTCCAAGAAGAAGAGGAGGGAAGAACTCACGTTTAGCCAGGACTTTTCTCAGAATATTGCACAGCTCAAAGGCAGAGATCTCAGCATCCTGTGGAAATGGAAGTCAAAGGCAGCACTATGAACACAGTTTGCTTTAAATACCCTCCCTAATATGATGTGGGCACAGTCTAGGTGGCCATAGGATTTTCAGAGCTCCAGCTGCAGGGCTGGAAGTTGATGACCTTGGAGAAGGGGCTTAGGGGGTCATTGTGTGGGGGAGGGGAGGGAACTGCCTGGTGCAGTCACAGTGCAAAGCATCCTGGGAACTCCTTGCTTCTTTTGCTTGTGTTCCCAGACTGAAGCTGCCCTCTAAGTGTGTAGCACAGCATGAGGAGCGTGGAGGCGATGCTTGAGTTGGGGCTCTTTCCACCCGGCACAAGATCCCCACAATCCTCTGCTTTCAGAGGTTTTCTGGCACCTGGATTATATGGTCTTCTTAACCAACCTGTTTTTTTTTCCATGCCAAGTTTTGTACTTTAGAACAGTGGCCCTTAGCCAGAGCTGATGTATTTCATACAGGGCCATATGCCCCACCCTATAGAAAACAACACCACTCACCTCTCCAGCTAATTGTCCAAATAGTTTCTTGAAACTGGGTTCGATTTCATCTTCTGTGAGTTCTTTCTAGGAAGAGAAATTAAGGGAAATCAAAAGAACCTCCATTTGTAAGCAGATTCCTTTTCTAGAGTTACACTAAATGTGTTTTTCTTTGCTTTTGCTGGGATTTCTGTTGCAAAGATGGATTAATATTTAATTTTCACCTTCAATATGAGCTTGAATTCTGTTCTGACTGAATAATGCATACGCCCTTCAGCAAAGCTGTTACCGCTCTTGTGCTGTGACTTTAAGATTACAAACAGTTCAAGGGAAGAATCATATTTGGATGTTTGCTATGAATTGCAGAAAAGCCTTTTGGTCTAATCCAGAGAGGATTATTAACCTCCGTATCAAGAAACAAAGCACAAGGGTGAAGCTGAAACTGGGTGAAGATATATGATCACAGCTCATAGTGGCAAACTCAGGCATTTCTCCTCCTTGCTAATAAGCATGTTACAAACTTGAGTCCACGTCAGCTGCAGACTTGGGGCTTGTCAAGAGAAACAGCTGCCATCTAGGTATCTCCAGGCCAAGGATGGCAGAAGCCTTCCTCATTGTTTTGCACATGCTCTGCAATTGCGCAGAAGTTCAGTGAACTTGAATGCACATACACACATGCATGCTGCACTTGCAACCCGGCTACAGCAAACCATTTCCTCCTATTCAGTAGCATACCTCTTCAATGTTGGCTTCAATTTCATCATCAACGACCCTAAAATACAGAAAGGAAGTCATAGCGAAGCTGGCACAGAGAGATTTAGATGGGCATTGCCCCTTTAAAAAGTCATCTGAGTGCTATTTGGTATTGGTAAGCAACCATTTCCCTGTCCGCAGCAAGTGAAAACTGCTTGTGCAGTGGGGCTTCACCAAACCTCCAGAGAAGCTTTTGAGGGGCTGGAGAGGAGGAGGAGGAGGAGGAGGAGGAGGAGGAGGAGGAGGAGG